ACCTGAGGGGATTGAGATGCCATCAGGAGTTATTTTTGGGAAGGAGAGCACCAAAAGGCAGGACTCTCCACTTCTATTTCCAGCTCTTCTAGTGACAGGATTTGCTTTGGGAGATGATTTTGGCTGAGACCAAGGGATGTGGGAACCCAGAGTGAGGTATTTAGGCTTCTATTCAGCCTTGGAAATGAGCAGCCAGGTTGCAAGTCACAGCAGGATTGCTTACATGAATAAAGATGATGGATGCTCCTGGCTAAGGGTAGGTGCCATACAACAAAGTCTTTATTGCTGGAAAAGTCATGGCTTTCTCAGCGTTTTTCTTCTGACTCAATGGAGGTTTAAATTGAGCTGCAAATACTCCCATTCTGATTTTGAGGCTCTCTGAGCACTAAAAGGCATTTGCCAGTCTCTGTTTTTCTTAGCTGTGGATGCTCTTTCACCTTCACTTATTGTCATTTCTGTATTTTCCTGGCCTTTGATTTACATCAAAGTTTTAAGTACTTGAACTGCAGCGTTTTACAGAGCCCACAGCAAATGGATTTACTGGGATTGCAGCTGGATTGCACATAAGCACGTCAGTTTTATTTTAGCACAATTATCAATGCCTTGTTTACATCCCCAAAGTAATTTTCAAGTGTTTTAAATGTTTTAAGTTGCTTTTCATTGTGCAGCTCTTGAATGCCTGTAGTGAAATACTCCTTCCTTTCCAGCTTTGCCCCTTCTAATTAAACAAATCATTAAAGTCCTTTCCCAATTCCAGGGAAAGCCATCAAAGTGGGCAACAAGCACAGTGGCTTATTAAAAGCTTCTGTCACCTCCTTGTGTTGTATCCATCTCCATCTCCAGGAGTCCAGTTGCTAATTAGTGGTGCTCCATCAGAAGAACCCCAACATTTCTGAATGTCAGTGAATGCTATTTGAATATGAGTATTTCAGGAATAAATTTAGAGGCCTTTTAAAATTCTTATGTAAATGGGCATGTAGATTCCAAGGGGGTTTCTTTTGGAAGGCAAATTAGATGATTAACCTGAGCAGCTTTATGATGATTCCATCATGTGCTTTCACTGAGGAAGGAAAGAAAAAAAAAAAGGGACAATCTTTCATGTTTCATGCCATTTTAAGTATTTTTATTTCCAAGGGGGAGTTCAGTCATTCCTTTTTCTGTTGCTAACCTGAAGCACGGTGGATATGAAATCTGGATATGCAGATTTTGGGCTGGGATTTAAAAACTGTAATAAGAAGCTTGCACGGGTGTTTTAAGTCAACATAACCTTTGGATGTAAAGTCAGACTTTGGAGGTCTTTGGATTTACTGGTATTAGCAGCAGTCAGATTTGCACAGCTGAGTCTTGGCTGAGCTTAAAGGTCTCAGCAACAGGTATGAGGGGTGTCAGAGCAGCAGAAGGTGCTGGGGGCCTGCAGGAATGAGGTGGGTGAGAAAATGCAATGAGGTGTCCTTCTCCAACGGGCAGATTTCTCCTTTCTGTCCCTCTGGAGAGGAGACAATGGTCCCAAACCACCCTGAATCCTGCCCGGAGTTTTGAGGACGCTGGGTGCTGACTCCACAGCAGGACCTGTCTGCTCAGGAGGAGGATATTGTCTTCTCTAATGTTCCAAGCAGAATTGGCATCTTTAATGTAAAAATCATTAGATGGGACCTAATTAATGTTCCTTATTGCACATGAACATTTCCCAGAGTCAGGCTGCAGACGTAATTTGCTTTCATTAGATACGTAGCTTTAAAAATTAGATTCATCCTAACTGCTACACTATTTATTGTCTTGTTTCCCTTTCCTTAGCTATCCATTATTATCTGGAGCCCTTTCCTGATCTGTCTGGGTAGATTAGGTGGAATTAAAGCAGAGTCCAGCTTCCTGTTCCCCACTGCCCTCCCTCTGTGGCAGCTCAGAGGATTCATGCCCTGATGTGCACGTACCTCCCAGCTTCTCTCCTCCACTCCTCTGTCCAAAGGGGATCTGCAGACCCCTCAAAGCCTCCCAGGAGCCAGACAGACCTCAACGCCCCCAGAGCAGTTCCCTTGCAGAAAGGTGCCATTCTCTGAGTCTCCTTTTCCAGCCCCCAGAGGCTGGTGGGCCACAGGGCCGGGCAGAGGGGCTGCACATCACCGTGGAGCTATTTTGGGATTCGTGTGCAGCTCATCCTGTGCTGATCCAGAGTCTGCATCCCTTGCTGGCAGGACTGCTCCTTACCTGGTGGCTGGGCCAGGGAGATTCCTTACCTGTTGGGACTGAGCCAGGGGGAGGTTTTTGTCCCTGTGGGATTTGGCTGTGGATCTCCCATGCTCTGCTGGAGAAGCTGGTGCATTCCCTGCTGCCTCCTGTGCTCGGCAGAGCTGTAATTAATGCTGGCCCTGCCAGCCTGATCTGCATCAGGTCTCCCTGGCAATGGAAGCTCTGGGGAGCCCAGAGTGGAAATTGCAGCAGCCCTGAGCTGGCCCTGGGGAGCTGAGGAGCACAGGGAGGCCGGGAATGAGGCTGCAGGGATGTGCTGGAAGGGGGAGAAGCAGCAGCCACGTGTCCAACTGCTCCAGCAGCGCCTGGAGCTGCCCCAGCTCTCCCCATAACCACGGCTTGCACAATCTGTCCTTGGGATTTGAAGTGATAAAGCAAATTCTATTCCTGTTTGTTCCCCCTGTCCTACCAATATCTGTCTAGTGACAACTTAACATACAGGAATCCTCTTTTTTTTTGTGGTGTGTGTCCCTGCCAGGACTCATGAATTGATAATGGCTTCATTCTGGATCCATCCAAGGTGATCAACTGAGCAAAAACAGTGTGCAAGCCTGCTCTGATATTGGCACTTTGCTTTCAGCCTTTCCTCAGGCACTTTACAGTGATGCTTGGTCACAAAAACAAATACAACTCACAATCTACTTCTCTAATCAGAAAATGTAGAATTCTCTTTCCCTTGATCCCTTTTCATTATCTTATTTTTGCTTGGTTGGGTTTTTTTGAATTTTTTGGGTTTTTTTTTTTTTGTTTTTCTTTTTTGTCGTTCCCCCTTTCTTCTCTCATTGATTATTCATTTGTTTCTCACTTCAACATAGCAAAATTGCTATGTTTGTTGTTTGCAGCAAAATCTGGGCCATTCCAGGAGTGCAGCAACCTAGTTGCAGCTCCTTCCCTCCTGGAGTGTGGGATTCTGCTCCCCCTGCCACGGTGTGGGCAGCAGTGGGGCCCCTTCTCCAGCTCCCAGGGCATGGCCCCAGCAATCTGGAGGTTGTTGGGAGGGATGGAGTCCATCTGACTGCAGGGCAGGTTCTGGTGGGATTGTTTATGGCAAGTGTTTTAAAAAGACCAGCCTGGGGAGAAAAGAACAATTAAAGTGAGACCTGGATAAGGCATTGAGTGATGTCATGAATGGGATTGCAAGTGAGGTTTTCTTACTCTCCTGAGGTTGTTTCAAGTGTCTGCACACTAAATCTGGTGTGAGAAGGAGAAATTTGCAGTGAGAAGTCAGGAAATTATCTGCCTGATACTGGATTCATCTTGTGGCTGATAAAGCTCAGCCTTGGCTGAGATGGCTCTGAAGGTCCCTTACTTCCAGCAGTCCCTACCTCACCACCACGTTTCAGCCTGTGGTTCGAATAAATACTGCAAATCTCCCTATTTTTACTTGTTACCGTGACATTAATGGTCACTGCAAAGCCACAAGCACGACCTGGTGGTGTGAAACTCCTTTCCTTTATTCACCAAAAAGCAGCAGCCCCCACCAGCAGAACCAAACCTTATAAATATTCACAATGCAGTTTGTAGGAATGCGAGACAAAGTCAGACAAATGAATTATTTAATGCTTTTAAAGAATGCAGCTTTTAGTTTCTCCTTGCGCTGGCCTACTTTATTGTATTAGTAAATCGATCCCAAGTAAATTAATTTCCCTGCTTTTGTTGGAGCAAGCAGTGGGCAGGGGTGGAAGCCTCCATCCTTGAGCAGATGCCAGGACACCTCGGCAGCTGCGGATTCAGGCGCTGAGTGTCAGAAGAGAGTCGAGCTCCTGTCACTCATTCGGTGCCCTTTGATTTGCATCAGAACATGCAGCACTGGGCAGCCTGGCTGGGGGCAGGCAGTGAGTGACAGCCTGGGGTGGCACTGCCTAGGCTGCTTTTGGGAGGCTGCCCGTGGATGTAGATGTCAGTGAGATCTGGGTGCACGCTGGGGTTTGAGCATCCCCCCAGTTCTGCGGTGAATCAGCGACTGAGAGAGCTGATATCAGAGTTGTATCCCCACAGCTTATGGCAGGATGAGGCTTCTTTTGTCCCCAAAGAGCTGGGACAGAGAGCAGCCCAGCTCCCTCCCCAGTGCCAACAGCACCAAAATCACATTCCCTTGGGCTGGATCAACCCCCATGTCTGGCCACAGAAGAGCAGAGCAACAGCCACCCACCACCAGTGATGCTCCAAAAAACCCAAAACGTTGCCAGCCTTTCTGGGCAGCAGGAAGTTAACGTGGAGTACCTGCCTGAGAAAGGAACATTAAATCCACCCAAAATGTCCTATTCTGGCAAGAATTGCAGCACCACTTCTGTGTGAGCTTTTGTAGATGTAAATGTATAAGTAGAGCAGGAGTGGAGCTCATGCTCAGCCTATGCTCCTGTTCCTCAGCCAGATGCTCCCCTCTTGTCCCAGCTAGAAATTTCCCTGCTCATTTGGATGCTTTTGGATGCATCTGAACCTTGCTGAAAGAGCTGACACTTCCTTGGGGAAAAAATGTCAGAAGTGACCAGAGCTGCCAGCTGGAAGGGGAACTGGATTGGCACTGGCCAAACTGGGGATAGTCCAGTGGGTCCATCCACACATCCACAAGAAGCCTTCCAGCTAGCAAAACTGGGCACTTGACATCCTTTTTACGTGGTGGTGTAGCAGCTGTGCAGTAAATAGACAGAAATTTATCCAAAGTTGCTCTCTGAGTTCGTTGGATGAGTATGAAAATGAGTATGCCATTAAGACTGACCTTCTCTCTCTCTCTCCCTTTTTGTGTCCTTTAGTTTTCTACTAGTGTTCTCCTGCCTGGTGCTGTCTGTCTTTTCGACCATTGATGAGTACCAGAACAGCTCAGAAGGGGCCCTTTATATCCTGGTAAGTGGGGGCTGACAGTGAGGTATTAAAATCAAATCAAATCCACACAAACCCCTGAGACTGGGGGTGTTTGAGGCAAGAATTTAAGCTGTCTCTTGTGAGAAGGGGACCACTCAGGCCTGTGGGACAGAAATGGGAAAAAACTTTTTAAAAGTCTACAGCTGCTGGCTTCATCTGTCTCTTCTCCTTTTGTCTGATTTCCTCTTCCCCATTCCTGCCCCACATCAAATCAAAGAATGCTGCAGACTAATTGGGGCTTCACTGGGTTTGACACATGAGAAAGATGTGACAAGATCTGAGAGGGAAGAGAGCATGCATGGGACATTCAGCTGGAGATGATGGAAAGAGCTGGAAAGAGCTGGAAAGAGCTGGAAAGAGATGGAAAGAGATAGAAAGAGCTGGAAAGAGCTGGAAAGAGCTGGAAGGAGCTCACGTGGCATCAAGGGATGGAGCATCTGCACCAGATCTCCCAGCACACACAGGCAAACCAAGCCAGTTTTCTAGGGAAAATGCTGACATCCCCTTTTGTCATCCTCTAGGATTATTCCCATTCAGTGATTCCCATCTCTGCTCTTGCCTCAGCATTAACTGAGTTGAGTCCTGGAGGCTGGTGGCAGGGAGACAGCAAGGTGTTCATCATTCCTGTGCTGGGGGAACAAGCACAATATGAGGAGGGTAGAACTCCAGTTCATGTCTACAATGTGCAGCACCTCTCACCACCCTGGGGAGGGGGAGGAAAGACACAGAAGCAGAGATCTGATGATCTTTCAAGCCTGGGCTCTCTGTTGAGTGGTGCAGACAGCTCAGTAATGACTTTTCTGAGGTGTATTTTTCTGAGGTCGTGGGTTTTTCCCTGGATTTGGGAGAGTGGTCTCCATCATCCTGTTCTCCCCACTAATGGCACTGTCCTCCTCACAGGAAATTGTCACCATCGTGGTGTTTGGGGTGGAATACTTTGTGCGGATCTGGGCCGCCGGCTGCTGCTGCCGATACCGGGGCTGGAGGGGACGGTTGAAATTTGCCCGCAAGCCTTTCTGTGTCATTGGTAAGAGCTGAGGCCTTGCATGGGATTTCCCAATCCAGGATGGCCATTCCAATCACTTGCTTGCATGGTTCCCCAGTGTCTTGCATGTGTTTTGGGGGTTAAACTTCAGCTGCTTCATGGTCACCTTGAGAATGGAAAAAAAACCCCAAAATGCAGAAGTCCTAATCCATGGCCATGCCTTTTGTTATTCATCACAGGGTTCTCCCTGTTTTCTGCTGACCTGGGAGCCTAACCCTAACCCTAACCCTAACCCTCCACACCTCAAGCATTACTGACAGCTCACAGAAACAGGGTTTAGCAGGGAGAGGCTGAGCAGAGGAACTGGAATCCTGCAATCCTACGTCCAACCTCCACACCAAATTGTTCCCAAGTCAACGAGACTCTGTGTGTCATCCTGGTGCTGATGAGCTGCCTCTCAAGGGAGTTGTGAGACTTAATTAATTATTGTTTGTAAAGCACTCAGAAAGTCTCCTGTGAGAGGGACCATCTGGGCACAGCAGTGATATTTTCTGGGATTAGAAATGGACAGAGTGGCCGTGCCCTTCGCTATGGAGACTGCCTGTGACTGTCTGGGAGCTGGCAATGGACATATGCAGGATTTCAGTTTATTCCACAGCAAAACACTCCTATAAATCAGGGAAGAGGGAGGTTTATGGGATCTTTGATATGTATTGAGCAAGACTTTTTTGTTTTATGGCCTATTTCTTGGACTTCCATTGTCCTTAAGCACCTTAGGATTATGGAGGATGTATAGATTTTCATTCCCAGTTTAGATGTGGGAGTTCCTTTCTCTGTGTAACAGGCACCTATGACTGATAAAAGACAGGTCCTTTGGCAAGGATTTAATCCCATGTTAACCCTGAATCAGATCAAAATTCAGGCTGTGCAGCATTTGACCCATGTTCTATGGGAATGATGAGCATGGAGAACAAAAAGCTTTCCACAAAGGGGTGCAGTGGCTCCTCTCATCCAGTTTCAGATTAGTTCTGTGCCCTTCCAGCAGGGGACACAGGTGTAGGAGACCCCTGTCACGCACTGCCCGAGGCAGTGGCAATGCCATTCCCTTTGGTGGTGATCTGGCAGCGCTCCCTCACCTTTCCCTGCCCCGTGTTCCCGCAGACATCATGGTGCTGATCGCATCCATCGCCGTGCTGGCGGCGGGGTCCCAAGGGAACGTCTTTGCCACCTCGGCACTCAGGAGCTTGAGGTTCCTGCAGATCCTGCGCATGATCCGCATGGACCGGCGCGGCGGCACCTGGAAGCTCCTGGGCTCTGTGGTCTACGCACACAGCAAGGTGAGCAAGGCCCAGGCAAGGACGTGGAGCTGCTCTTTGTGTTCTCCCCACCAGAGACACTGCTTTGGTTCAGCTCTCCATCCCAAAGTTCTTCCAGGCCTGGAAGAGGAGATTGGAGGGACACCGTAGGTAATGCAGAGGAGCAACATGGTCGGAGACACAAGGTCTGATGGAGTGCTCCACCAGTCAAGAAGGGAAGGGAGAGAGAGATTCCAGTCATGGGACCAATCCCTGATGTAGGGGGATCAGTTTGGGAAGAGGTTGTTGTTAAATTGCTGTTTCCTGATGCTGTATTTACGATTTTAGCATTTCTCCTGTTTCCTTCACTTTCTTTTCCCCAGAGAAGCTTAGCCAGCTTCTCCAGCACTGTGTAAAAATCATAGGAAATTTGTGCATCTCCTTTTTCCACCCTTGCACTAACCTAATCCAAAAATAATCACTCCTGTGAATTCTGAATTAAAACTTCCCTGCAGCTGGGGGATAGTCCAACAAGACCCCAACTTCACAGTTCCTCCTTGTTTAGTGGCTTGGACTTGTCCTAAGTAGAATATTCAGAGATCTGGGGGTTCCTTTTCAGTTTCAACTCCACTTCCCTGTGTGAACTGGGGAAATATGAGAGTTTTTAAATCTCAGTTCCAGTTCTTGCAATAATGGAGCTCTTAACATCCCCTCCTCCATTTGCTGTGTGTGTTTGGATGATTTGGTCTTCAGGCCTGCCAGAGCCACGGTCCCATCTCAGAAAGTGCCATCACTGATCTCCAGCCAAAGCCCCAAAACCTAAACAAGTGCAGGGAAAGTTCAGATCCAGCAGCAAGCAAGAAACTCAGCGTTTGGAGATGCGCACCAGGACTGCAATTATTCTCTTCTTTCTTTTAATGTTCTCACAGGAGCTGATTACTGCCTGGTATATTGGCTTCCTGTGCCTCATCCTGGCCTCTTTCCTGGTGTACTTGGCTGAGAAGGGAGAAAATGAGCACTTTGATACATACGCAGATGCACTCTGGTGGGGTCTGGTAAGTAATTTCCATAGAGCAGCTGCTGGTTATTAAAATAAAATGTCCATTAACCCTCCGTCTTCTATCACTTACGTGAGGTATTGACTTAGAGAGTGCTTAGTTAACATTTTTATTAAATGGCTTCAGGCTGTTCCATTTAGCTCTTTTTCTTACATAAACCTCATAGAAATTGTTGGGGGATCACATTTCTGAGTTAGCTGGAGCTGCTGGGGAACCAAGAACTCATGTGCTCCCAGTCGTGGGATTGAACTCTGTCGCGACAGAGGTGGGTCAGAGAGATCCAGCGCCATGGGGCGCTTTGATAATTGTTTTGACAAGTATTGCTGTCCTTTAATTATTCAAAGTGCACTTGGGCAAGGCGCTGGAATAAATTTATAAAATTAATAGGGCCTAAGTAGCAGAAAGTCTCCAGCGGGGCGAGCACTCCCCCTCACATCTCTGCTGAAAGGGCAATACTTGTGGTTTGCTGTGCGTGTGCATGTGAATTATTGGATTACCCGATTAACAAAGAGAGAATTAATGACGTTCTAATCTTCTTGTGTTATTGTTCTTCTGCTCCATCACTAGTTTGGCCTTGATTACAAAGCATGTAATGAAAATCCCCGATCTGATCAAATCCCAATAACAGGCTTGGGGAGAAATCGGCTGATCAAGCAGCTCCTCCATTCCAACAAAGGGAAAGAGGCTGTAAATTGCTTTTCAAGCCCTTTAGTTAGGACAGAAAAATAAAAACAAAGCCCAATTTAACATAACAAGAAAATAAACAATGAGGGAAAAGTGACAGCTCAGATTAGAGCTCAGTCTGGGGAGAACCATGGGCAGATTTATCCCTTCTGCTTCTGAGACTGTTTTGGCACTGAGAAGTTCAGAAAATAAATTAAGCTTCATTAAAATAAACAGTTTTTGTCAGAGTCCAGCTCATGGATCTAATATGGGCAGATGTTGAGAGATGGGATAAATCAAATTTCAGGGTCAGAAGCTCATCCCTTGGTTGATCTTAGTGTATCCAACACTTACTGTTGTCTATAGAAATTACAAGAATACTGTAAACCAGATTTGCAGTGATTATGGAGCGAGCCTTGCTCTGACTCTGTTTCAGTAAGGATTAGCCATGTTGATGCATTTTTCAACCACTTGGTCAAAATAGCATCTAATTGATAAGGCTTTTAGTGGGACCAATTAAAAGGCACTTTGGGATCCTACTTCCATTTGTGTAAAAGTGATTTTTTATTCTAAATGGAATGCATGTTTCCAGTGCCACATCAGCATGGTGTCAGCTCCCATCCCTGGGGCCAGCTCTGTCCGTGGAGGCTGTGTGACAGGGACAGCCTTTGGGATCAGAAGTCTCAAAGATGTTTCTAATCAGACCATCCCTCTCTGCCTTGCCCTGCCAGTCCCAGGCTCTCCAAATCCTCTTGGAAGCCTTGGGGGAATAGCCAGCATTTCCCATGTGATGTCCATGGAGTGAAGTGGGAAAAAGTGTCTTCCACTGGAGTTTGAAATTCAGGTGACTGTTTCCAACAAATCTCTCATGTCCTTCCCCAAAATACAGACAGCAGCTTTCCACCTCTCTCTTGATGCATTGCAATAGCACAAAACCCATCCCTAGATGAGGTGGTGTGAAGGAGCCATAATTCATCCTCTCAGCCTAACAGGCTGTTTTTAAACAGGGGAGAGGAGACCAGCTGATAGGCGCTGCTGGGAAGATTTGGAATAAACAGCAGATTTTGTGCATGCAAATAGCTTTCCTGAGCTGCCGAAAGGGAGTTTGGGGGAACGGTGCTGGTTCGCTTCCCCTGCCGAAGGCACAGCCCCTCCTGGGGGAGGTTCCGAGCACCGCCAGCCTCTGCACCAGATGGCAGCTCTCTCTGACAGCAAAAGGCACTGAAACACTCCCAAGTGGTGTGAAACCCAGCACGTGAGCAGGGCGGGTGTTGGGGTGTCTGTGCATCCTGTATCCATCCCTGCTGCTTCCCCAGCTCCCCGAGCTGCGCCTCAGACAGTGCAGGGCATGGTGACCCAGCTCCGCCGTGTGCTGTGGGAGCTTTGGCCGTGTTGTTTCAGTTTTAAGGCTGTCTGACCAAGGGCTGGGCACTGATCTCCTCCCTGCAGATCACTCTCACCACCATTGGCTACGGGGACAAGTATCCACAGACCTGGAACGGGCGGCTGCTGGCGGCGACCTTCACGCTCATCGGCGTCTCCTTCTTCGCCCTTCCTGCCGTAAGTGGGGGGAGCTGAGCTCACCTGGGCCTTGTCCCCAGCCCCTGGAGCTGGTGGCACTCTAACACCTACAGCGTGATGCACTCAGAGGCCTCCTGACTGTGATGCTTTGTGGCTTGTGAATCAAAAAATGAGGGAGAAAAGGAAAAAGCCTGTTTGAATATCCACAGTTTGTGCATCGCCTGCATGAGCAAATGGGATGGGAACTTTCAATTTGGCTCTGCACAAATATTTATGGAAACAATAAAAAGCACTTTTTCCTCCAGAAGGCTGTTCCTTGGGGTAATTAATGGCTTTAAGATGAAGGAGAGTAGATTTAGATTGGATATTAAGAACAAATCAATCCCTGTGAGAGTAGTGAGGCCTGGCACGGGCTGTCCAGAGAAGCTGTGACTGCCCCATCCCTGGAGGTGTTCAAGGCCAGGGCGGACGGGGCTTGGAACAACCTGGGATACTGCAAGGTGTCCCTGTCCATGGCAGAGGGTTGGAATGAGATGAGCTTTAAGGTCCCTTACAACCCAATGCAATCTGTTATTCTGCAATTACACCATTTCAGCACATTCCCCCTGTCCCTCTGGCAGTGCATTTCAGTGTGTTGCAGGATCTGGATTCCTATGGGGATAATCTGCTGAATGCCATCACGCTGGGGTTCTTTTGTATTTTATCAGTTGGCTGGAGGTAGTTTGGGAAAATTTACAATTCCAGTGAGTGCCAGAAAAGTCTGCTGCCCCTTGGATAGTGTCTGCCACAGCTGCTGGGATGGAGGCTCCTTCCTTCCTCTATGTTTGAATCAAAAAATGAGCCAGGAAAAAAACCTTTGGAGTTTCAGAAAGCTGGCCACAGATTTTAAGAGGAAGGTTAACTAAACCCATCCTAACAACAAATTGTTGTTCTCTTCCCCAGGGCATCTTGGGTTCGGGATTTGCTTTGAAGGTGCAAGAGCAGCATCGACAAAAACACTTTGAGAAGAGGCGAAACCCAGCAGCGGGCCTGATCCAGGTGAGGGTCACATCCAAGGAACCTTGTGGTTACATCATCCTGGTTTTGGGGAGCTTCATAGACTTTTGGAAGATGGGGAGGAGACAAATGGTGCCGTGTGTGTAAGATGTGAGACAGCAGCTGGTGACTGGTTTTGTCTGGGAATAAATGCCAGGAAATCAACCATGGGAAAACAGCATATGTGGTGGGGAATCTAGAGAGAAAAGGGATGGAATTCAGCAAGCAGCCAGCTCAGCAAGACAAATGCATTGGGACAATCTGTTTTCACCCTTTTTTTCTCCCCAAAGAGAATATTTATCCTGATATAAAGGTACAGTTGGGAGCATTTTCTTCATGAGAGCAGATGTCCTTGCAGAAGGCTGGCCTCGCTGTACATCTTGGAGAATTTAAATGAGTCATTTTACATTCCCCTGCTCCTCTCTCTCCACATTTTTCACTTCTTAATGGGCAACAGCACCCATCCTGACCTCAGCCTGGCAGTGAATGGTCAGGAGGATCATGGTACCACCCCAAGTTTGTCACCTACCAAATCAAGGAGAAGGCAGAATGTTGGATCCATCCCACAGGACTTGGTGCTGGTTGAGGTTTATAAACCCAGGGGTGATTCTGGCTGTGCCTGGGTGCACAATCTCACTGGGTTTCCTCCTGCACAGGCGGCTTGGAGATTTTATGCCACCAACCTGTCCCGGACAGACCTGCACTCCACCTGGCAGTACTACGAACGCACCGTCACCGTCCCCATGTACAGGTACCTCCTCCTCCTCCAGCTTCCTCCTCCACTGCCTTCCTCGTAATGCCACTGTCTCCATAGTTACCTGGATATATAATTTTGCTTATTTATTTACTTTTTTTTTTGGTTGAAAAAGTTGATTTCGAGCTCCTAAGAGCTGGTATATGCTTTTCTTTTGGAGTTTTGTTTTTTTTTTTTTTGCTTTGTATTTTTTCATTGTTTTTCTTTTTGACTTGATTTTAATTTCTCTGTTGCTTTGTGTTTTTTGTGTTTTTTTTTTTCTTCCCATGTCTTTCTGTGTGTACATGCTCTTCTTTTCACCTTTATTTCTCCACGCCTGCTGGTAGTTGCATTGTGTTGTGACAGTTGCCGTGCCCAGGTGTGAAGACCTCCCTCCAAGCTGCCCTGGATCATAGGTAAACACCACCCTCACCCTACCTGCAGCTCCTCGTGCCCTCTCAGGCTCTCCTTGCTGGTCCAACAGGTCTCTAATGGTCCTTCTGCCTTTCAGCAAACTTCTCTCCCAGCCTTGACCAGCCTGGCACTCTCCCAGGTGCATTTTCCCTGGGTCCTACTTTCCTTTCTTTTCCTTTTTTGTCTCTAAGAGGAGGAAAACTAACTCAGGATTCAGAGAGCGTTTTCCCATTTCTTGTATCTCACTTATCCATCCCAGGGTGTTGACACAAGCAGGGAATGATGTTGGAACCATGATGGATGAGGCTGCTGAACACCAGAGTGTTTTAGCAGCAGCCACCTGCCTTGCTCTGCCTGCAGTAAAACCAGGCAGGTTTTTAAGGTGAAACCACACGGGTTAGAGCAGTACTGTGGAAATTAACAGCCTCCTGGGCTGTGGAGCTTCATGGAGCTGGGGACAGAGTCCTCTGACATGCCTCCAAGCCCTCCAGGACATGGGGAAGCACTGCATCCTTCATGTCCCCCTTTGGCTTTGTGGCTTCCTTAGAAGCTAAAATGCACGATGTTCTATTCATTTTCACCCCACGCCTCATCCCTGCATCCTGGGCAGAGCCAGGCGCCCATTCCTGGTGGATTTTTAGAGGTGATCCATGACTCTCTGGGTTTGTAGAATGGTTGGATATGTTTGCTAGATATTCCTGTAGCACCGTGGGGTTTTGTTGGGTGTGATGGGGCTCCCTGTGCCCCACCTCCCCGCTCCCACGCAGGGCTGTGCCCAGCACTGGGCTGCGCCACTGCAGGAATAATCCCTTCCTGTTTTCCATATTACTGGTGCCTTCGAGCCCTCAGGCAGACAGCCTGGATGTATTTCCTGGGGTAAGCTTTAGCCTGTATTTCAAACACAGCAGCCAGCCTCTTAACCCATCATAAAAACCTGTTGGAAGTCCCATTGCTGTGGTCAGTAAGTTCTCATTGGATTCATTCCCAGTGTGTGTCTGATTGGTTGCTTTTCCCCTAGAAATTTAGGAACCAACTTGAAGATTTTGTCTAAAAAACCAAAACAGCAACCCAACAGAACAGAACAAAGCTGTTTTCCAATAGCATTAAACTCACCCATTGAAACTCTCCCTCCCAGTACCTGACCTTCTGGCTGTAACTTTGCAGCACTGCCTGGGATCAGCTACTGGAGAGGATGAGGACAGAGCTTGGCCCAAAATCCACTGCAAAATGCAGGCACTCAGGGCTTGTTTTCAGTGGACTTTGGCAGATTTTACTGCTCTTTGAAATACTGAACTTACCATGCAGCCAGATATGCAGTGACACCCTTTTGATTACCTGTTACACAACCTCCTTGTTAAAACCTGTATTTCCACAGAGCTAATATGTAGGAAGAAATCTGAGCTAAAGATCTCCAGAAAAGGCTAAATAGAAACTCTGGAGAGGAGAAAGAGAAGGAAAAAAAAAAAAAAAAGTAGTTTGGAGAGCCTGCTTATCTTGAGTAAAAAGCCAGGACAGATTTATAGCAGGGTTGTAGCAGTTTTGCTGGCTGCTGCTGTGGGTGCTGCTCAGCCCCACACAGCAGTGTCACTCTGGGCTTCCTTAGAAATGGATTCTCTGGGCTCTCAGCTTCTCCCTTAAATCCCAGCTCCTGTTTGTGCTCAGATCAAGTGAACATCACCCGGGCAAGTGAGCCGTGGGTGCACCAATGGATTCAGCCCTCAATTAAATTGTTTGTGTTTTTTACCAAAAAAGCAGTGAACCCCTTCTGACTGTATTTTGAATGCTGTCAAATAAATTAGGTGGATTATTTTTATTTTTTTTTTAAAAAAAGGGAGTAACTGTATGTTCTGGCTGCAGCTTGCATCACTCACACTGACCATCTCTCCTTGCCTCCCCACTTTCCCAACCCAGCTAGCAGGCACTGGCAGCCCTGTGCTGCTGCTGGTGCTGCTGCAGCTGTAGCAGCACGTCAAGCCCAGCAGCCCCTTAAGGCCATGGCTGCAGTGCACAGCGTGGTTTGGAGGTGGGCTAGAGGAACACAAGATCCCCCTCTCTGGTGCCCGGGGATGATCTGCAGTCACCACTCGGCATCCTTTCTGCTCAACACTGAGCTGCTTATTCCTCACAGCAGGAGCCTGTGCCTTTAGCTCATCTCTCTTCCCAAGGCATCTCTGGAAAGGCTTGGCTGCTTGATATGAGAAAATTGTTACACCTGTCTTGGAGGAGCTCACATGGCTCCAGAGCATCACTCCAAGCAGTGCAGTAGAGCTACTCTGATTTGTTTCAGGGAAAACATGGTGGCCTCTGAGAGAATCCCAGATTTCATCTTTAAATCCAAAATGTGGCAGAACCAAATTCGAAAATAAGCACAAGGCCTCTGCATGTGCAGGTGTGGTTTGGGTTGTAATGCACGAGTTGGCTTGGTGCACCCAGAGATCATAAATAACCTGTTCTGCATCAGCCACTGCATTTATTAGAAAAAAATCTGCTCTTATTGTCACTCATGAGAGCAGGGCCTTGATCTGAACTGCTGTTATATATTGGTTTTCACTAAAAAAGCCAAACCCATGGACACATCCTGCCCATTCAGCAGCCCAGCCCAGGGAGTTCCTGGCTGGTGGGGCCGAGGGCTGTGGATGTCCCATGGAAGGACTCTGGGAGGCCCCCACACTTTCCCTGCCCCGTGGTGCCCATTTGCTCTCGGAGCAAGGTGCCAGCTGCCTGTCCCCAAGGGTGACACAGGCGTGCTGTGGCTCCTGAGCCAGCCACAGCGGGAGCCAGCTCAGTCCACGCTCCTGTGCTCACCTCTGAGCCTGGCCACAGCATCTGCTCCTGGGGACACACTTCGTTCATATGCTAATTTTCTTTATTCTGTTTCTTTCCCCCTCTCCTCCACCCCAACTTCCCCCCCTCCCTGTTTTTCTTTCTCTTACCCCTTTGGTTTTCTTTGGTGAAAACACTTGAAAAGCACGCAAACGCAAACGTATGGTGCCTCCAGGTATGAAGTGCATGTGACTCTGAAAGTGTGTGTCATGTCACTCCTTGTTCTTCATTTGGGACTGTAACATGCAAAGCCTTGAATTAAAAAAAACAAAACAAACAACAAAACAAACAAACAAAAAAGACAGAAACCTTTGAAGATGAGTTTTTTTCCAAGGAATGAGTGAAAGCCCAAAGCAGACGCGCCCTCCTGCTGCTACAGACTAACCCCCTGCACCCCTATGTACATTTTAGCTATTGGTACACACAAGTGTTGGGAAACTGCCAAAATGATGATGTAAGGAAGGAGAATGGGAGCGTGCTTGATAAGCTTGCTTTGTTAAGGATGATTTCTTGATGGTCTTTCCAACCTCCCCCCACCCCCAATCCATGCAACGCTTAACAAGAAAAACATCCCCTTTCATCTTCCATTTCCCTCTGCCCTCACTCCTGTGTGTTCCCTCTCTCCAGCCCTCTTCTCCCATCCTTCATTGTGCCATTTATCTGGCTCTGAGCTGCAGGAGTTGTGCCCACCTGGTAATGCTGGCTTTGAGATTGCTGGTGGGGTGGCACCACAGGGCACATCAGTGGTAGCACAGAATAAAACTTCCAGAGCAGCTGTGCCTGCTTTTGAGGGTAAAACCTGGAGAAGAGAAAGATCTGAGGCTAAACTGATACGATCATTCATTTCTTGGAGTAATCCAATCTGGTTTTTTTGTGAAAGAATGCTTCATCTCAGCAGGACTTTTCCATTTCAGTTTTTAGTTCCAAGACCCACCTAGAGCTAAGCAGTTATTAGCCACAGTTATTCAATCTTGGACTTAACCTTTTGGGATCAATCCAAATGCAAAGTCCTGGATATGGCTGTGTAAGATTTATGATAAATAATATTTTCTCAGGTTCTGCAGAAAGGAATAGATGTGCAAATCACAGGTGTATTTTATATGAGATGGGTATCTGAAGGTATAGTCAAGTTAATATTTTAAAATGGGGAATAAATGACTTGCATTTCAAGACTGCAAGCCAAGCACTGTTCTTAGAACAGTTTAAATCCTCACTAGATGCAGTAATTCCACTAGAGCTGATGTGATTTAGTGTCTGATTTCGAAACCCGGTTCCAGTTTTCACAGATGCAAGTTTTACAGCCTTAGTAAATCACACTTACTGCTCTGTGTGCTTAATTTATAGCAAATTGCATCAATGAACTGCAAGGATATTATTAAGAATATATTTTCCTCTTGTGCTAAACAACAGCCTGTTTTGAGAATTAAGACATTTTTCTACTACTGGGAGAGGAATAAGAATGTGCCACTTCCGTTCCATTTGTTGTAATGAAGTATTTTATAAGCTTCATAAATGTTCTCAGTCATGAAAAATAGCTTCAGCTGGAGACATAAAGTCATGTTTAGGGAGAAAATTGGCTGCCCATAGGAACTCCAGCACCGCATGGAGGCTCATTTAGGTTCTCATTCCATTCCAGAACCCATCTCCCTGTCACCGTCTCCTTAATTGTTCATCCTGGGACTGTTCAAAAAAATCATCGTGGCGTCCGTGTGCGTGTCGTGGTGTGTCCCTGTAGCTCCCACCGTGCCGTGTGCTGCTGCCCTCCTCGTGTTGTGGGGTTCTGGTGGTGTCCTGGCCTGAGGCATGACCTCCCTCCCGTCCCCTAATGCTTGAAAAGTTATCTGTGCTCCCAGGAACAGCGGATCCGCCTTTCCCTGCGGATGTGGGAGCCGGCGCCCGGAGTTAGCGTGGCCTTTCTCTGTGCTGTACTGGGAGGGGTGGTGGAGGCAGCTGGGGGGACCTGCAGCAGCTCAGAAGCGTTGCTGTGGTGGGTGGCATGAGCTGTGTGTGTCCCGTGGTGTGCAGATTCCTCAGCCAGCTCCCCCTTAACCGGAACGCGCTTCCCTCGCTAACCAGTGACACACGGACCAGGAGGAGAGAGAGAAAACGTGAGGAGCCCCAGACAGAGGTTCCTCCTGCACCTGGCATGGTGGCACCTGCGTCCCCTGTGCCCTGGGCACACACCAGGGCAGGGGGCCGTGCATCCAGCATTCCACAGCAAAGCTCAGTTCAAGAGCTGTGCGGAGTTCTGCCTTTTTTGGTTTTTAAGGGTTTGGAGAAATGGTGTGGTGCAGTAGCTGTTCCTCAAGCTGCTCTTGCAGTGACAGGTTAGGCTGAGCATTTAGCTGAGATTAAATTTCAGGTCCTGAAATATGTGTAGGTTTTCACCCATTTTCAATAATAATTATTTCAGTAAGATACTGGTGATTTCCACCTCACGTAGCAGGCCCATGAACCAACCACAGAAATGGTGAATTTCTGTGTTTGTTGTGTGTCTGTGCTTCCTCATGGAAGCATCTGTGGTGGCCCAAGAGGTGGCCACCTTCAGCACGCTGCAGACCATGGGCTGATGCAAAAGAAATAGTTCATTTTGGAATCCTGAATCCTCCAGTCTTTTGAGCTAATGAACTCCTCATCTGTGACATGCACCAGTGAGAGCCCAGGATTTGCAATCCCAGCTGGAGAGAATGGGGCAATTTTCCTGTGCTCTGCTGGGTATGGACCTCCCTGAGGAGTTAATTCACCAAAGAAGAGCTGTGCACCCTTCATTACCTGCTGAGTACACCCTGTGCTGGATTTTATGCACCACCTCTCCCAACCTGGAATGCATCTCCAAACCCTACGGTGTGTTTGAAGGGAGGTGACAGCCCAGCACTCATGCACAGCTCCACTGCATCAAGGTCAGCTTCTTCCTGATGTCTGGAATGAAGAGGATCATTAATTCAGCAGATCAGGATGTGCTTTTCTCTGGATGGAAGCGACTGGGGAGCCGAGCCAAAATTTTTCAGGCCTATTTTTATTCTTTTCTCCATACTTAGAATTGGAAAATTTTCTGATTGCCTCAATCTTGTGAACACAAAATCTCTGCTAAACCACTGTGGTTTTGAGGATAGGTTTTTTGCATGCAGAGAAGAGGCTTTTCCAGTTGAGTTGGTTTTTTTTCTAGTTAAAGTGTGAAACTATTGGTCTCATCATGGCTGAAGAAATGTGGGCATGAATATCTCTCCCTTTATTTTTTTAGAAGCCTCATTTCTTTCAGTCTCCACCTGACACCTCCAGCCTATCTTTCTCTTGGTTGAAAACCTGGCTGGGAATATCAGTATTAAATATTGATGGAGCAAGCCCTGGACTTCCAGGGTCTCAAGGAAGAACCTAAAAATGGATGTTGAGCTAATTTCACGGCTTTTAAGCACAAAAGCAGGCCACAGGATTTTTGTTCACTGAGCTTTTAATTCTTACCAGGATTCCCATTGTCAGCTTTTTTTAATATATATATATATATATATATATATATATGTTATTTTTTTTTTTAACTGAGAAGGGAATGAAGCCCTGTGGTTTTCTGGAAGGCAGTGACACAAGATTTTGTCTCATTCTGGGACAAAACCTGACATGGAGAATAGAGAACTGGAGCACACTGCTCTTTCTCCTGGGATGCTCCCAACCCCAGGTCCTTATTTTCTCTGCCCCTTCCCATGCCCTCCCACATCCCTGAGAGCAGCAGGGTTGAGTTTTCCTATTTTCCCCCAAAGCTGGAGTTTCTCTCCATTTAGCAATGCCAACCTGCCAGACTACAGCTCTGCCAAAACACCACCGGGCTGCCCAGGAACCCTGGCAGCTGCTTGGTTTTGGGGAGGTTCAAAATCCAGTGGTGCAGACAAGTTTCTCTCTCTCTCTTGCTGTCACTTTCTCTCTCTTACCCCACTGCTCTGCCTTAGGACACTGTTGGAAGTAGCAGCCAACCCCCTCTCCATCCTTCCTGAGCTGTTCCCCAGCTGCAGTTGGTGGCACAAAGCTGGTTCTGGTTGAAAGGATGGGGCAGCAGGGGAAGTTGCCGAGACAGGAGGCTCTGCAGTCAGCTCTGTCTGGATATTAATGCTCTTTGTTTTGTCCCTCTAGACTCATCCCTCCTCTGAACCAGCTGGAGCTCCTGAGGAACCTGAAGAGCAAGTCAGGACTGACATTCAGGTTAGCAGCAGAGTTAAGAGAGTTTGGAACTCACACAATTTGCAATATTTTTCTTTTTTTTTCTTTTTTCTTTTTCCCCTCCTGCATATGGACATCCTTGAAGATGAAAGAGGTTTGACAGCTGGTCCCACATGGGTCACTCAGTGACCTCCTCCCTGCCCCTCTCCTGTGCTCTATATGAATTCCTTCAGCCTAACTTGGCTCTGGAGCAATGTCACGGTGCTTGACTGACAACTCAAAGTCGTATTCTCAAAGGGGCTGATGGAGGTTGTGATCCCAGTTTTCCTCTGACCTTTCTGCTCCTCCCCACACTCAGAGGACACTCAGGCCCGTGATGTGTTAATTCATTCTCTGTTCCCTCCAGTGACAGCAGGCAAGGTTGCAGCAGTGAGACATTTTTGTTGAATTGGCTGTGGCAAGGTTTACATGAATCCCCTGCACCTTCAGCCTCTGCTTGGGAGGGGTAATTCTTGGGGTTTTTGAGCAGTCAAGGCTGCCCTGTTGGTGAATGGGGAGTGTGCAGACCCTGGGAGGGATGGAGAGGGGCCAGTGGGCATCGGGGCCAGCTGGGAGTTGTGCGATGGGGCCTGCCCTGGGCTGTGTGCCTCCCTGAAGAATACACCCCTGGGTCAGCCTGAACATTTTAAAATGTGAGTATTTGAGCTAGTGACTGAGGCTGGGCTTCCCAGCTTTTCTGAGCAAGAAGCAGAGGGGCGGAAAGAGATTTCTATTAGTCTCTCCATTAGCTGAGGGCTCTGTGCAGGTCTCAGTGGTCGCTGCTGAGCAGTGGCAGGGCCAGGGCTGGTGCAGCATCACGCTCAGAGGGCACCTGTGTTAGGGGAGGCAGAGCTGTATCTGCTGAGAAACATGGTCTGCTCCCTCTCTGGGGGGCTGCAGGGGCAGGGCTGGTGGAGGCCCCAGCTAAACACGATTCCCCAGTGCAGTTGTGAATCGGAGCAGCTGAAGGCAGAGCAGGTTTTCCTCATTGCTGGAGGGAAATACCACCCCAATGCCTGGTCAGTGAAGGTGAGGGGTATTTTTCAGTGTGGCCTTAGCATGGCTTGCAGTGTCCTGGCTGCCCTTTTGTAGGCATCCAGCTCACTTTGTCCCCAGTGATTTTTTGGGGCAATACAGTTTCAGATCTCAATATGAAACTGCAAACACAGACTGTGGTGCCTTTGCCAACTGCTTTGGTAAAGTAGCTGCCAAAGGCTCTGGAGGCATAAACCCCACCTGGGGTGCCAGGATGCCAGGGCAGGGGTCCATGCTCCTTCCCACCCATGTCCAACCCCAGCACCTGGCATTAATCCGTGCATTCGGAGATCTGACGTGAGCTCTGTCCCAGTGGCCAGGGAGGAAAAGCGAATGCACCAAGGTCATGGGAGCCATTCAAACCCTTCCCCATGTGCAGAAACATGAGGGCAGTGCATTTCCAAAGGAAGGGGGCCACTCTCTGAGCCCACAGAAGTCCTCCTGTGCTCACACAAATCACACAACCCTCAGGTGTCTCAGTGGTGCCTAGGCACAAGGATGGGTTGGGGTGAAACCTTCAGCCCTGTGCGTTGTGTGTGTCTTCTCTGAGGTTGTGTGAGTCTCCAGTGATCTTCTGTCCGGGCCAGAAACTTCAGGAATTAAGCACTCCTTTCCCTTCCTTCTGTCCACAACTTCCACTTAGTTGTATTGTTTGGTATTGTCGTTTCGTTATGTTTTAACAGTGAAGCAGCAACATCTTTTGCCACCTGACACCATGCTAATGTACTATTGCTTCTGTTTAAAGGAAAGAGCAGCAGCCCGAACCATCGCCAAGGTCTGTATCACTGCCAACACTCCATCCCCATGCATTCCCTGTAGATTTCTGTGTGTGTGTGTGTGTACCATGTCGTGGCACCATCGAGGGAAGCATTCCTAGGTACTACCGTGCTTTTCCTGTGCTGTGCAGTCCGATGTATCTACGTGTGTGCTGGACCTTAAATCATATCTTCCTTCCAGCCTGCCTCGGGCTGGAGCAGCAGGCCAGCGAGGCTGGGGGGGTACGGAGAGTGGTGGCAGCACAGGCAGAGCTGGCAGGCACTCACGGGGGTGACTGCAGGGCTTTGGTTCACGCTTCTTTGTTTTATTTCGTTGCTGGGGTAGTAGCTGAGCAACTCGGTATAACACCCAGGGGCAGGTGGCGCTTTGCCCGTGTCTCTGTCACCCTGTGACTGTCTGTGCTGGACAGAGGTGACACGGGGAGCACGAAGCCATCGCCACATCACCGCGTTAGCAACTTCTCCTGAGCTCCTCTGGCTGCAGGGCACGGCGTGGACCGGCTGCTCCGTGGGACACAGGAGGGCTCTCTGGCACGGCTCAAGGTGGCATGGCAGAGACACCCTTTGTGCACCCCGTTCCCTGGGGAGGAAGCACCTTCCCTGCTCCATCTTCCCTCCACGCCTCGAGCCCACGGTGCAGAGCGTGCTCTGGATCGTGGCGAGCACCTTCCAAGGGCAGCCGTAAATCTCACTTGTGGTAGAGCTTTTCTCCGTTCACAACTCCCAGGGAAAGCAGCAGGGCTGGTGCTTGGGATACTTTTAGGACACTCTTCATCCACTAAGAAGTATTTAATTCTGGGATTTTTTTCTCCTATATTTTCTAGCTCTTTTAACAAAATAATTCTGGAACTGAATCACTTTTTTTCCTTGGCTGATGAGACACAAACTCACTGATGATCAGTGGAGATCATCTGCTCGGCTTTCAGATCCTCCATCTCATTCCTCAAAACACAACTTACAGCCTGAATTTTGTAAACAATGCATACATTTTTCAGAAGTACAGCTAGAGCCTGGCATTCTGCAGATGTACCTCTCTGCCATGCCTCTTAGCTTACAAGAGGCCAGAAAGTAATTTTTCCTTGGCATAAAAGCCAACCAAAGATATCTGGCTAGATACACTGCTGAAGAAAGGGTGGAAAATTTCATCTTTCCTTCCTTCTCCCTCTCCCCCCCCCCCTTTTTTTTCCCCTGTCATTCATTTGAGCTTTTCTTTGCAAGCAGAACCTTTGTAGCACTTGATCTACTTTCCTGCCAAATAACCCAAATCTCCAAGATCATGTTTCAACTATCCAGATTTCTTTTTATTATTTTTATTTTTTATTTTTTGCTTAAGGTCTTAAATGTAGCTGGAGTGAAGTCAGCCTCCATCCAGCATTATTAGAGCAGGGAGCATTACTTGGGAACAGCTCTCTGGGAGCAGACCAAGGCTGAAATCTTGTTCACCTGCCTGTGGCATCAGGAGGGTCAGAATTTCATCCCAGGGTCTGGATGCTCTGCTGTCCTGCCTCATTCAGTGATAAACTTTGTTTGCATCAAAGGGTAAATCCACATTTCTTACAGTGCAATGAGAAGAAATCCCTGTTCAGCCCCATCAGCTCCATAACCAAGGAAATTTGGCATCTGACAGACCCTTACAGGGTTACACCACACATCAACCCTGCAATCTATTAAGACTAAATAGTCTTATTTCTGATTTTTGAATCTCAATCCTGTCTTACAGGTTTCATATTTATTTTCTTGAAACCTGAAGTTGTGTACAATATTTCTTCATAGAGGTTGCAGGTTTTTCCCTGATCACTTTCTATTTTCTCAACCTTATGTCACAGAAAGAAGTAAAAATAGTCCTTCCCTGTCCTTTTTCAGAGTATTTTTTACTATTTATAGGGCCTTCATCAGAGTCATTTCCAAGTGCTGTTTCCTGCTCCTGTGGTGCACCTGTCTCTTGTGACACCCATGGGTTTTCTTGCTAAAGCCCAGCCCAAGGAGGGCTTAGCTGAGGGTCTACAGCTGCTGTGCAGAGTTTTGGAGTTTATTTCATATCATTCAGTTCTGCTGCCATGGCAGCACCAAAGCTCCTTCCTTCTTCCTTGTGTGTTAGGACAATACCAACCCTACCTGTTCCCACTGTAATTTTCCTTCTATCTGATAATGCCCCAGACCTCAGGAAGGAATTTTATGTTCAGAGGAGCCCAAATTGCCTGTTTTCCCCAATAAAATTTTCTGTGTCTTTTACATTCACATCCCAAATCTTCCACCCACTTGAATTTCCAGCAGCTTCCCGGTGATGCTCAGTGTGTCATCCTGCCCTTAGAAAAGAGAACTCATCCTGTTTCTCTGCCCACCTGACAGTTAATCACCCACTTGCTGGTGATGCTTCACTCAGGAAGCTCCTGGGGATGAATCGTCTCTCTCAGCAGACCCCAGCTCCACACTTCCACTGCTTCAGCTGGGAAAGGATTTTCCACCTTGCATTTCCATCTCTGTAAGGAAACAGTCTTACACCTGGAGGCAGCTGGATCTTCCTCCTGTTTTAGTAATGTGTAAGGAGTGGCTGATTTCCTATATCCTTCTCTCTGTAACCTATACACCACAAACCCCCTGCAGCAAATGGAACAGAAAGAGCTTTTTCCACAATTTTTCACCTTGCTTTATTTCAATTTAGAGAAGGCATGCTGGCACGGCACATGGGATTATGCTATGCAGGATAAACAGTGTCTTGTGAGGTCAGGGAGCATCCCAAGCATTCTGCCAGTGAGCAGGGTGGCTGTTGGGGTCCTGCCCTCTGACCCCAGTGCTGATCTCTGCCCACACAGCACTGGGAGAACTGCTGCCCGGGCTGGGAGGACATGAGGAGGTGATGGGGTCAGTGTGGCAGAGGCTCAGGGTCACCTGGAATTTCTCCTGGGTGGTTCTCTTGGTTCTCTTTTGATTTAGTCTTGGTGTAAAATGGGACAGGTGATCTGAGGGACAGGTTACGTCCTTTCTCTATGGTTTCTGCTTTGTTTTTCCACCATGAGCTTGTCTGCATCCACATCCAAGTGCTGGGAACGCTCTGTGCTGATTTGCCTGGGGGCCAGGAGCCCACCTCTCCCAGAGGTGGAGCTTAGGCTGCGATGAGCAGAAGAGATGCTGGCCTTTTTCTACATGCTATGTACCCCTTCTCCCCTTTTTATTCTCCTCCCTTTAAAAAACAAACACTTTTCAGAGCCTCCTGGTGCCCATCATTTGGGTGTTTTGTCCACCCTGCCCCTGCCCCTCCCCAGGCTGGCTGTGCTGCCCTGGGACCCATCCCACCTCCAGGACAACACTGCTGCCATGCAGGCTCCAAATGCAAATCCACTCTCCCTCATAGCCCAGGAAAGGGGGGCCTGCTCTCTGCTAGGGCTTTTCTCACCCCTCCTGCTGCAGAAAGCCAGTAGATCAGAGTGGTAATGGGGGGTGGTTACTCTTCCGTTTATCAGGCTGAAAATTAGCTGTGGCATCTCATTTCTGTTTGTTTTGCTTTGATTGTAATGTCAAAAAAGACAGCACATGGTTCGCCAGGGCTATGGAGGCTCCTGTATGAAATGTGGGCTTCAGATGCTCTTTAACAGATGGTTTGAGAAACATCTGAAGGCATCCACAACCACATTTCTTCCTCTTGCATTTTCCAAAGTACAATTGGGTGAAAAGCTAAAAACTGATGAACCAAATGAACATAATAACACATTAATATCAGAGAAAAAGAAACAGAAGGATTCCAGGGAAGCTAAAACTCAGATTACTTTGTCCAGCATGAGTTCAGCGCTGTAGGTAATGAGAGGAACCTCTTTGGAAGGTTGTTCTCAGCTGTGGCTTGTCCTTGACCCCAGTGAGCTCAGCAGGACCTTGGCCTTGCACTGGGTGAATGCTGGGCTGGGTCCCTTGTACCGTGTGTGTATATCTGTGTGTTAATCTCTCAGTGTGTGTATATGTCTGTCTGAGATACACACAACCCCAAGATCTCTCTTCAGGGGTGTGATTAAGGCTTCTGTACGCACTGGAGGATGCCTTTGGTTGACTCAGTGGGCCCCTGCTCATCCAGCCAAGGATGTCCGAGGTGTCCCGAACCTCTGCTGCCCGTGGAAACCAGGGTCAATCATAGAAACCCCATGGGCCACATGAGCCTGGGCTGCTGTTTGGCCTTCTAACCAATTTAACTGGTGTCAGAGACTCATGCTGGGACTGACAGTAATCTGGAAATAATCAGTTGCCTTTAGGGGAGCGGATTATTTGCACGGAAGGAACTGCATCTTTCTGGAGGGACTGCAGAGGAGACTGAGAGGAGAGAAACCCACGCGTCTCCCTGAGGCTCTGCATGCTCAATATCCCACTCCCACGCCAGCTCCAGGACAGCCCTGGTAGCACCACCAGCCCCTGGGGCTACCTGGGGATGCAGGGTCCCGTTGTGGACACCTGAGGAGTCCCCAGGATGCCGAGGGTGGTGTCGGCTGAGCTTGCATGGGATGCTGTGCCCGTGAGCTCCTCTGATTACCCAACTCAAGTGTAAAATAAGAGTGGGATTTGATGCCCTTCAGCCTTTCCAGTCTGCCCATGAATCTGGCAAGAGCTGCGTGCTGGTGGTTGGTGGCCTGGTGGGGTGATGGGGCCACGTCATTCCCCTTCCACAGGTAGAGGGCTGCTCCATGGCGTGGAGGACCCTGGTCCTGGTGGGGATCTCCTGGCAGGGCAGTGCCTGAGCAGACGTTTGGGATGGAGCTGTGGTGGTGCCTCCTCAAAGTGAGCAACTCCCCAGAAGTGGTAGGGCCTGTCCGAAAATCTTTACAAAATCCAGATGTGTGAACACAGATGTTCAACTCCCTTCCCATAAAGGGACTGCACCACACCCTGTTTTTATCTATTTTTGTTTGTTTTTTTTTTTAATGCCAGGCTTAATATAATGGTATTTCCCATATGAAAAGTGCAAATAATTCACATATTAATTAACTCTCTTTGTGAGTGTTTTTGTTTGGTTTTTTGGGAAAAAAAACCAAACAATTTTGAGCTTTTTGGATAGTATTTGACAAAACAAGTTACAGTTTTCGCTTTCCATGGTTTACACAATTTGAAAAAACCTATGTTTTTTTATATATTTAGAAGAAGAACAGAGTATTTTTTTTGTTTCCAAATCAGATGAAAAATCTTCTTGCAGTTAACTGTAGATAAACTGACGCCACCAACTCAATGAGCAGAATGCCTCATGTCTAATAATTAAATTTACTGACCACAGTGAAACAAATTTCAGAAACCCTCTTGATTTTTGATTTACTTTTTTTTTTTTTTCCTCACTGAACACTCAAGCAGAACAATCCTGTCATGAACCCGGCCCTCAAAACACCTGTCTTTTAAACCTAGAGTCAGTAATCAAAAGTTTCCTGTCTGGCATTTGCTTCCAGGTCTAATTTTTACTCTCCCCTCATTTCCAGTAAAAGCAAACCGTGCAGAGAGTCACTATGCGGATGCTGCTCAGGAAACTCTAGGTACCACGGGAAATGCGTCGCACGAAACTAATCAAAAGCTGCACGGCTCATTCTCCCTCTACCCTGCTACCACCCGTTCTGATCACTTCTCTGCTTAATAGAGGTACTAGATGAGTAAAAAAAGAGGTGGAAGAGCCTCCCCAGTGCCCGCCCCGAAATTAGAGCCTTCCCTGGCTGCCAGTTGTGCAGAGCACACGAAGCAAAGGGATGAGGATGGGGAATTTGGGCTGGGCCAAGCCAAAGCCAGTGTTTGCTCAGCAAGGGAGGAGGCCAGGAAATGAAGTTTAACAAACAATGGAAATCTTTAAAAAAAAAAAAAAAAAAGAAAAAAAAGAGAAAGAAAAATGAAAAATTTTAATTTTTTTAAAAAGACCCCGTCCTCCCTTTCACTCCATCTCTCCTCAATGTCCAGGGAATCCTTGCAAATTGACTTGCACTGTACAGCAATGTCCAGTTAGTAGCATGAGAAATACCAGCTTCCTGCCTCTGCTCAGTCACCATTCCTTTGGCTCTCTGACCATGACAAATTGACCTTTCCTAGCCTGGTGGCCTTTGGAAGCCACAGCTTGCCTATCTAGCACCTCTACTACGCAGCTAGAGAAGGACTAATCTCAGCCTGTCCCACCAGACGTAGGGGACACGGGCTCCCCTGAGCGTTGACATTGGCCTTGTGAATGGTTCTGTTTCTAGACCCCGAGGGGGACAGACAGCTTTAGCTCAGGGCTTTGTACCAGCAGGGTTTGCATCTTTTTCATCCAGCTGACAACTGCTAGGTGTTTTCAGGGACTTCCCAAGGAGCATCCCTTAGTGCACCCATGGCCGTATACACAGACACATAGATCTTATCTTGTGCGTAAATACTTCTACACCTGCACCGGAAGAGTCTCTGCCCCCACCCCTGCTCCTCAGCAGCAAACATGCACCTTCTTGATCTCCCACTGCCCAGAGTTTGCATGCTGTGAATGCTGGCAGGGGACCCCCGAGCTCCTCGCCCCGCAGCCAGGCAGGTGGACAGCCCAGGAGTGGCAGGGCACTGAGTGATGCCGCATGTTTGTGAACTCGGATTTTTGCATGCTCTTTTTTGGAGTCCGTTTTAATTCTCAAAATCACCAGTCTCTGTATCCCTCAGAAAGCCAACAAACTACAGCTTTGAAAGTATAAAACTGCAGCTCTAACAGTATATGTATCTCTGATTATCTTCATTAATTGTTTCAACCTGTATCTTTTCTTTTCTTGCTATTTTTTGACCTGCTGGCTCTTTTTATTCTCTGTCAGTCTAGAGGGTAGACTCACATGGCTGAGGTTTGCGTGTACCAGGTGCTCAGAAGTAGAGTGGTAAATCCCATCTCTGAATGGGTAACAAAGAGGAATGGTGCATGATCTAGGGTTCATAAAAAGCAGTTTCTCCACAGTAGGAAATCCTTTACATCTGGATAAATAGCCTGAACCTCTGAGTCAGCCTCCTGCTACATATTTGGTGGTGCTGTGGCCTTCCTTGAAGGTTAGCCTTGAAAAGTGTGGGTAAATATTGGGTGATCATCAGTTGCTCAGGCAGCATTTCAAGACAAATGGCAAAGATTTGGTCAATAGTCTAGCTGGAAAAAATGATCCTGACTTCTGTGGTGTTCCCATTTGCCAGGTGAGGCTGTTTTATGTGTGGAGGTGTAGTGTGAGCAGGGACTCCTCCCCAGAGAAAGCCTCCTCTCAGTTGCTTAACACTGAGGTTGTTTTTGGCAGAGATGAAAATGAGCAGTGCTATTCGTAATCTGTCCTCTCATCTGTTCATGTCTAGCTCTGTTTTCTGGAAAATCAGCCACTCTGATCTCAGTGTCTTCCTTGCATGTCTTCCTAGGTTTTTAATTGCTAAAGCCAGTGTAATTTTTTTCTGTTTTCTACTGAATTCTGTCCCTCTGTCGTCCTCATTTCATCTCCCCTGTCTTGAGTTCTGCAAGGGAAAGGGAGGATGAAACAAAGTGTTACTTCAATATCTTCTCAATCTGTTGGAGAGTCTGAAAAGGAGGATAACAGACTGTTTTTCTTCCAGTCAAAAAGGACCCTTGAACCTTTGGAGTTCAACAAGAGCATCTTTGTAACCTGCATCTATCCTGAATGTAGTGTTATACACCCTGTGCTTTAGTAGAACTGTGGGTTAACTGTGAAGGGATGTAAAAATAATTCAGATGTCTTGTTTCTCTGGACCCTTGGGTGTCTGCCAACAATCCCCACTGCACAAACTCTTGGGGCAGATGCCAGCACTTTGATGCAGCTCAGGCTGAGTGCTAAAAGCCTTCATCTAGGATGCACATAACGAAATAAGAGCACACCATGAGGCAATCATGGAAAACTCAATGTAGGTAAATTAATAGGAAACTCCTTAGAAGCTGTGGTTTCTTAATGTACTAAACCAGTGATCTTTAGTCAATAAATGCAATATCACATTCATTTTTAGGCAGTAATGTAACTACACCAAGCCAGATTATCAGCTCTATTGTATTCTGCTTTGTAAGAGACTTTCCCGGCACACTCAGAGATGAGGGCACCTCACAGTGGGATGGGGGCACCAGGGCAGTGAAGAAAAGGTGTTTGCAGAGCCCTTGAGTGGCCTGTGGCTCTGGGTTTGGGAGGCTGGTTTGGGAATGATCAGCCAGCTCAGAGGTGCAACCCTTTGCTCTGCTCCTGAAACGCAAACAGCTGGGAGAAGATGCAGGATGCGGCTGATGTGGTGTCTGACAGCACTCAACATCAGTCTGGGAGGAGAGGGCTGGGAATTAGGATGAGATGGGTGATTGTAACAGGATGCTGCAGGACAGCAAAGGTTACAGACATGAGTCTGGCTCCGGTGTCCCTTCACTCATCCGAGGCCCTGTGCTTTCCCGTGCTTGTGTGGTGGCTGCAGGGATGGTGCAACTCCAGTCTTTGCCATCACAGCCTCGGTGGCTCCCATCCAAGTCTAGCACTGTGGTTGTGGATGAGGAAAAGGAGAGGGATTACTCACCATGACACAATCACTGGCTGATGTTTTGTTTCCCTTACGCCCAGGTTTCTCTGCTTCTAGAAACTGCCTTCTCTAGGCTGAATTCACCTTTTAGCAATGATTTTTCTGGAATTGCTGGAGGCAAACCAGGCTTGAACTGGGCCCTCTCTTGGTTTCTGTTTTAGTCACACCAGATTTTGCATACACTGTTTTATTTTCCTTTCTTCATGTCTCCAGTAATTGGTTTCTGCCTCTTACCCACACCAGCAAGCAGACTGGAGCCCAGTGATAATCACAAAGGCCATCATTCACTCCTGCCTGGTTTTTAATGAGTTGTTCTCATATGCCACAAGCTCAGCACAAATTCTTGATTTTAAAAAAGCCCCCTCATCTACTGACAGGAGACAACCTTTTTCTCCTGGCCACAGCTTCTCAGAAGAATGAGCACTGATACTGGTTGAGTTTGGATGCAGAAATGGATCTGAGTCTGTACTAATCCAACTCACCCTGGCTAGCTGAGAAGAAAATGAAGTAATGTCTCAAGCATAGTTTAAAATCAATGACAAGACCTTACAGCTGATACTTTCTATTGATCTAAAATTACTGCTAATGTAATGAGTCCACATTTTTTTTAAAGTGCTGATTTAATACTATAGAGAACTGGAATGAACCCCAAACCAGAGCATTTCAAACAGGAGCTTAAACCCGTGGCATCCTAAGGAGGCTGATGGCAGCTCATTTTGAAGGTCAGTACTTGCACATTTCTCTGCTGAGTGCTGGGCAGCTGGACTTCAACAAAATGCAAAGCCCACTAAAGCCATGAACATCATCCAGTTTCTCCAGCATGGACTCTCATTTTTTGACTGGCAACGGAGAAAAATTAGCTCAGTTTCTATGTTAAATTCAAGTCAAAACCTGAATTTTTATAAAACTTTCCCACAGTCAGCCTGGAAAGGTAATTTTTGCTGTCAAATCTGTGTTCATAGGTGCCACTTGGAGTGGTTATGAGGACCTAGAATTAAACCACACCCTGTCAGGCTGTTGTGGCTTCCCCCAATCTCTGCCTCTGGTTGCAAAGCCACAGTTCCCTTTCCCTTCCTTCCCCTGGCACGAGCAGAGCTCCTGCCCTGTGCTCGTGCCACTGTCACAACTGTGAGCGTCCATCTGTCCCTGCTGTCCTTGCCTTCATGTCACCAACACTCCCCACTCAACTGAGGCTCATTTACCATCCTGGAGTGACATCCAAACACCTCTCTGAGACACTCTGCGTCCTTCTGCATGACTTTCTGGTTGAGTGAGAACATGATCTTGGATTAGCTGACAACATATATTCCTATGTATGTCTGTATTCCTTTGGGATTTTTTTTCCTACCAGCTCCTACAGACCCCAACAGCATCCTCCTCTGCAGGGATTGTACTTGCATGTGATTCCAGGTGTCATTTCCAATGAGGGAATTGCATGGCAGAAGAAAAATTCAATTGTCCATGGTGTCTCATGTCGTCTGTGTTTAAACAAGGAACTTACATCAAGTGTTGGGTTTTTTTCCTTAGTGAGCACTTGGGAACAAAACCCACTCAGATCCTAATTGTTCATCAGATTTCTATGAGATTTTTTAATGTGTTGCTCCTCATGCTCTCAGGCTTGAAACTCTTTGCTTGTATCCCTCACCAAGTTCAACCCTTCCTTTTTGGCTTTTTGTGATTCCTGCAAACATTTGTAGCACATTTGTTGTGGGAATGGAAAAGAGGCTCCAAGGAAAAGACCCTGCCATACTCAGTGGAAGGCAACTGGTTTTATGCTGGGATTGGTGATGGGAGAAACTCAGCAGAGTACAGGGCACAAAGAGATCACTTTGAATCCTGAATATTTCTGTGTTGCTAAAGCAGTTTTATTGAACTTACTTTTTAAAGAGGTAATTCAAAGTAACAGTACTACTGAAACACAGTGGATTCAAGAAATGTTACTCTGTCAAATCAACAAAAATAAAGAAAAAATATCCAGTTGGCCTATTTAGAATCGAATGACGAAATTTCAATCTGGTTTCTACTCCAAGAAACTCAGAGTGAGAATTTCATTTAAACCTTTGGCTCATTATGTACGATGGTTTTGGTAGCATTAGTAATGAAGGCTTACTTCCAGAAAGGTGTTTAGGCATGTGGTTGTTCCCAGATTCCTGTGTGGATTTGTACCTCTGACCTGGATTTCAGCTCTGCTGATCCCATGTCTTTCAGACAGCCCCTGCAGATGAGCACCACACTGGAAATTCAATCCCCAGCACTTACCTGAATTAATATTCGTCTTTAATTGGAATAATTCTGCCTTTTTTAGTTTGGTCATGAGCAAATTTTATTTTCTCTCCAATCCATCTTTCAGTGTGAAATTGCTGCTGAGCTTGTGGCCACAGCCAACCCTTCCCTGCAGCCCAGGGGATGCCCTCCCCACAAAACTCTGCAAAACGCTGCCTAAGCACCTTTCTCTCCCTGTAAATGTTTGTTGTCTCTCAATGTAAAGTGACTTTGTAAAAATAGCACCTTCTTACTCGACAAATCTGCTCCCTGAGCGTCCTCGAGTCACATCTTCTTCCTTCGCTGGCTGGAGCTGTTGTCTGCTCCTGTCAGCAGGGAACAGCCGGCGGCTGGGAAAAGGGAGCAGCGTTTTGCTTTGCTTCAAAACCAGCAGCCAAGTTCTGATTGAAGAACCTCGTGCCAGTTTTGAAGGCAAAGAAGGGCCGTGTGGCTCTGACTTTCAAGTTGGTGCTGCTGAAAGACACACCGAAAAAAAAAAAGCAAAAAAAAAGCAGGTCTTTGGTTGGTGATGTGGAAATTAAAATTTCTGAAATGTTCTTCCCGCAAATTGCGGCAGAGAGTTGGCAGCAGAATGAAGGATAAGTGGCTGCTGCAATGGTACAGAGTGTTGGGAATTAAATCCCTGTCTTCACTCAGTTTTGATATACCTATATATAAAATATTGGCTATTTGTGCAAGTATCTTGCACTGGTTGTCCAACATCTAATCAGTGGAGTTTAATCATCGATTGCTATTAAGAAAATATGAAATGGTCCAAAACTATTTGCAGTCTGCTTTCCCCAATGCTGTCTCTATAAAGTTTGTGGTTTCATAAAGATTCACAAAATCTCAAATTTTCACATGAAAATTCAGCATCTTAATTTGGGTGAAAGGCTTTAAATGCAAATTGCAAAATTTGGAAACTAATTAGAGTTGGGTGGTCACTATTTCCCAGTGAGATCATCTCTGTTTCTGGAGAGACCATATTTTCCAACCATAATTGCAAGGAGTCCAGTAGGAAAAAAGGCATTAAAGTGCCATATTCTGGAGTTTTAAAATTTTACTTTCCATGTTTATGACACCCATAGCAGACTTCCAGGGAGATGGCAGATAGCTTTTAGATGGGATTTTTATAGGATACAAAGGAGTTGCACACTGTTTGTATTTATGTGTTTCAATATGTAACTAGATAAAGAGAAACTCTTTGGAATATACAAAGAGGGCAGATCATGCTTTAAGAGGGAGGAAATACAGGAGCTGAAGAAAGGGAAAGGACAGATCTGAGCACCAGAAGTGAAGTGTTTGCACAAAAGTTTTAAGATAATGGTTTGGGTTTTTTTTAATTGGTATTTTCTTATTAGCCATAGTGTTTTGGAAGGCAGTTGTGAAAGAAAAGCTTCCTAACTCGTGATCGGAGTCGATCAGTGATTTAAGGAATCATAACCTCATTGTTAATGTCATTCTGTCCCGCCAGCCCTGGCATCCCATGAGGGGCTTCTGTTTAAGTCCTCATTATTTTCTCTCTCTTATGAACCATTCCCATTTCACTCATGATGACGGAAACATTTCTACAATGCTTTCTTTGAAACAAAAATAAAAAATATATATTGGAAAGAGAAAAAAAAAAAAAGAAAAGCCAACACCAAAGCTACATGTCACTGCTGCTTGGAAGTGCTCTTGGTTTCTAATGGCTGGTGGGGAAGGACTGCGTGGTTTCCAGAATGACTCCTCCTGCTGTCTCCTTTTTGTCTTTGTTTCAACGTGTTTCTCTGAACAGTCAGAAGGTCAGTTTGAAAGATCGTGTCTTCTCCAGTCCCCGCGGTGCTGGCACCAAAGGGAAAGGCTCTCCACAGGCTCAGGGCATCAGGAGGTCCCCCAGCGCTGACCAGAGCATCGAGGACAGCCCGAGCAAAGTGCCCAAGAGCTGGAGCTTCGGAGACCGCAGCCGAGCCCGGCAAGCGTTCCGCATCAAGGGAGCGGCGTCGCGGCAGAACTCGGAAGGTGAGGGCTTGGGGTGTCCTGCTGGACCCCAGATTCCCAGCTGGACCCAACATCCTCTCCCTCCCCACCTAAGAAGGGCAGAGCTGCAAGTCAAGGTGTTGGGGCTCCTTCCCCTCCCAGTCTTTTAGCTTGATCAAGTTGAAGATGTCCCTGCCCATTGCAGAGGGTTGGGCTAGAGAGCCTTTTTAAAAGGTCCCTTCCAACCCAAACTTATAAATAATGATTAGAAGAAGCAAGAAAATCCCTTCTGATAACCGTGACAATGTTTATATTTCTGTATATCAGGATGAGGGAAGGAGGAACAGTCAGGCATTGAGACAAGAGGAAAATACCTCAAGGTGTGCTAGGGAAAGTTACGTTGGATAATAGGAAAAATTTCTTCACTGAAAGGGTGGTCAAGCCCTGGAACAGGCTGCACAGGGCAGTGGTGGTGTCACCTTTTTGGAGGGATTTAAAACACATCTAGGGGTGGCACCTGGGACATGGTTTAGTGCTGGGAGAATGGTTGGACTCGAGGACTTTTCTGACCCAAATGACACTGGGATTCACTGATACAGGGATGGGTAAGAGCTGCAATTGGCACTGCTGAATGTCACCTAAGCACATCCTGGGAAGTGCTCTCATCTGGATGCTCAGCAAAGGCTCCTCCGCTGCTTCCCCTGGGATTGCTGTTTGTGATCTGCCTCGTCTTCCCTTGTGCAGCACTGGCACAGGAAACAATAACGTGTTGTGTTTCTCCTTCCCTGTCCCAAACCCAGAAGCAAGCCTCCCTGGAGAAGACATTCCTGATGAGAACAAAAGCTGCAACTGCGAGTTTGTGACAGAAGATTTGACACCAGGGCTGAAAGTCAGCATCAGGGCAGTGTGGTAAGAAAGGGAGAGGGGGGAGTCAGTCCAGAAGAATAAATTATAGAGAAAAATGAGAAGTGTAAAGCCCAAGAAGTGCTGGCAAATGCTGACATGTGTGTGCTGCAGGCTGTTTTTCCCCTGGGTGGCCTGCCCTGCTTTACAGACAATTTTGCCAGGAAGGGCAATTTTTTGCTTAGGGAAGGAATAAATGGAGAAACAGGAAAATCCCCTGCAGGGATGCATCCAAATGACGGTTCTCACCAGCTCTGAGATTTAATGCTGACATTTCTAAAACTGGTGCAGAGAGCACATGCACAGATGACAGTCCAAGGGGCATCAGGGACCCCCTGGCGCAGACAGGGCTTCAGCCACCAGCCCCCGCAATCCCCTTCCTCTCTCCTATTGCTGCATCCTCTCCCAAACCCACAGGGTTGGGATTTATTCCATTTTCCTTCCAAAGCAGCTCCCTGCAGTGTTTTTTTATCTGCCATTAAGCAGGTCAGGCTGCACCCAGGGACTGTGTTATGATTTTGCTCTCTGTCTCCTGCAGCATTATGAGGTTTCTTGTCTCCAAGCGCAAGTTTAAGGAGAGCCTTCGTCCCTACGACGTGATGGACGTCATCGAGCAGTACTCAGCTGGGCACCTGGACATGCTCTCCCGGATTAAAAACCTTCAGGCCAGGCAAGAGACCCCTCTCTTTGCTTCATTTTCCACTGCTTTTTGTTCACTGTGGAGGTATTGCCAGGAGAGATACACTTTCCTTTGCAGCTACAGCTTATTATTTTCCTTTTTAAGACAAATCCCCAAGGAGGACATCAGTGCTTATGGCTGGTACCCACAGGGATAAGCAGGAGAGGGACTGCCCTAAAACTCTCTTTTCAGGACATACAAGAATCATGGCTCATCCTCCTGCTTTATTTTGGGAGCTTTTGGCATGATGGTATATCCCATAGCAAACACGGATAGGTCTCCATGGTCTTCCTGGCAGGGTGCAAAGGTTTGGTGCCCCAGTGTTAAGGCTCATGTGGGTCATTTGGTGCCTTTCTGGGAGTGAAATAAGACAAAATTTGGTGTCCTGGCTGTGGCCCTGCTGCCACAGAGCAGTGAGGAGGCAGCAGCCCCCTCCCCCTGTTGGGATGCTAAGCCCCTTGAGGAGGAATCCCTCCATGGGTGGCACAGTCTGCTGAAAATCCATGCAGATGGGAATTTCTCATCCAAGCCCACCGGCGTAGGTGGGGTTTAGCAGAGCTGCATTTCAGCTTCTGTGCTGGGATTTTAGGGCAAGATGTGTTCATTTTAATAGGAGAAGGAATGTGGAAAAGGGACAAGTGGAACCGAGAAGGTTCCATGTTTTTCGTGTTTCTCCTGGAAGGAAAAATAAAACCCAAACACATAAATTTGATTTCTTGAACAGAGGGTCAGAGTTTAATCTCCTTCAGCCCTGATGGGAAAAGTAGACCCCAAGCCCCCAACACCCCTGGTTGTGTTGGCTCAGCAGAAGTAGCTCCAGTTCTGCAGAGCTTGAAGGACACCCAGAACTGTGTCAGGGCTTGGCCATGGGCAATCTCCAGTCAAAAAAATACACCATTTGCTTTTACATTTGGAGGATGAAATTGCTTCCCTTGATGGCTGTGGCAGCCCAGCTTCCCCTAGAAGCCATTGAGGAAGTTTTCTATTAATTTCAGACCCATCTAAGTCCCTGGCAGAGTCAGAAAACGTGAAGAAATAAGAAGTGGTTTTGTATGCAAACAGCTGACACAAACCTCAGGAATTAAGTAGGAAAGTTGTACTGGGAAAAAGAGGAATCTCTGTTCTGCCATGAATCTCTCGGAGACCATTTTAACTCTGCTATTTTTGATGTTCAAGTCGCAGAGGTAACTTTCTCAGCCTTGCTGCACACTGTGCTTTTCCCAGAAAGAACATTCTCCCTTGCAATGGAGACTAAAATATCCTGGAGAATTTCCTCTGTGTGAGCCTCTCTCTCCTGTTCAGTACAAATTCAGTGATCATAGATCCAAGATGTGTAGCTGAATATAGAGGGTGAAGAGGAGAGGGAGGGGATTGAGATTTCCTAACTTTGGTAACCTGAAACAAGAGGCCTTGAGGCCGCCTCTGCAGTGGGCACTGGGCATCGGGGTTATCATCTCCACTGGCTCCAGGTGGCATTCCTGAGTCTCCAGCACCCTGGGGGCTGTGCCAGATTGCCTCACCACCCATCCAGGTCTCCCAGGCCTTCAGGGCCATGCTGCAAAGACAGAGCATTTTGGTTGTCTGCTTTTTTGGGGAGGTTGGGGTAAGGAATTGCAGCTTTCCAAGACCAGAATGGATTCTCCTCTTAGCTCTAGCTCTGGGACTGTGAGGATGAGGGTCTGGGGCTGGTCAAGGCCACCACCCATCCTCTCACAGGGAAGCCAGGAGGACCAGGAGCTGCTTCAAAAGCATGAAGCACCTAGATTTGGGATCCAAGACTACCAGGCAGCTTCACAGGTTTCACTGTCCCCACTGAGCAGGAGATCAGTGATGGTGATGGGAGCAGACCCCTTTGAGGCCATCCTTTGGGCACCAGCAGGTCCCATGGCTGGGCACCTGCCCAGGACAACTGGAAGGGTCCCCTGTAGACAAAGCCATGGCCAATGTTGGACCCTGCACCCTATGGGCATCCCAGGGAGGAAGTCACCTTGGAGAACAGATATTTTAATGCCCCTTTCCTTCATCAGTCAAAGCCCTGTGTTCTGCCTGCCAGCTCAGCTCAGCAGGGCTGGCTCTCACCTCCCCTAGCCAGGGCTTTGGTGCATTAAAGCTGCATCCAAGCACATTTCTGGGGTGTTTACATGCACTTTCCTCTTTAATCAGTAAAGCCTCTGTCACTGTGTCTGCAATGTGCTCTTTTCAGTGTTGTGTTCACATTGTCTCGTGTTCCATCCTGACACCTTGCCAACCATGGATGTCTCCCATTCATTGAGTTATCCAGTCCTGCAGCGTTCCTCGCCGACTCCCAGCAGCTCATGCTTCCCTGAACTAGCTGAGGATGTGTTCTCTAGCACTGGAACTGAAAGGAGGATGAATATATGTTGTTTCATATCCAGCCACCTCAATGGGATATTGCCACACATATGCAAATATATTCCAGAGGGTAAAGCATGGTGCCTGTTATATCTGGGGCGGGGGGAACTCCTAATGATGTTGCAGTGGTGCCTAAATCTCCAAATCTTACCCTGAGGTGGGTAAGACTCTGGTTTTTCACCAACAACCAGGTGGTAGGAGAGAGCCTTCTGTTTCCAGAGGAATATATTTTCAAATTCTCTCTCTCTCTCTCTCTCTCCCTGTCGTTCCGTTTTTCAGTTGTTTCTTTCTGCGATTTTTCTCTGACCAACTTTTCTCTATGTGTTGCTTCATTATGCATTTTGCTGGTCTCTTTTTTCTTATTTACTTTGCCAGGATAGATATGATTGTGGGTCCCCCACCCCCTTCAACTCCCCGGCATAAGAAGTATCCAACCAAAGGACCCATGTATTCTTCCAAAGAGTCTCCCCAGTACTCGCCTAGGTTAGGATTCACCAAAATGCCGCTTTCTCTGGAATTTTGTTCATTTGCTTAATGTCAAACCCCTTTCATGCCAGTTATATGACGGCATTTCTCACTTAGCAGTGCAGCCTGCTAAATCATGACTCACAAGGGTTTGCTGCTCTGGGTGTGCTCTGATTTGCCTTCAAGCCAGAGGGGAACGAAAAAGGGGATGTTCGTTCACTCATCAATAACCATCAGTTCCTTCAGCGAGCCTATTTCCTATTTTCATTCTTCTTTGAGGCGTTAGCAAGCTAAATTATATCTTTTTAAAAGATCTCATACTTTATCAGGCTGTCTTCAAACGTAAAAGGTGGAATATTTACCCCCAACACCAATATAAAGTGAACAATCCACTTCCTAGAGGATGACACCGTCCTCACACAAGCAAAGGAGCCTCTGCAGCTCTTTGGACAATGAAATGAGTTTATTTCAGTGGGCAAAGTAAGAATGAAGTGTTTTGTAGCTGGTGAAGGCAGTGGACTCTATTTCTTCCCGGTGCCACTCTAGTGACCACAGAGGGAAAAATTGTGTTAAAATACTGAAACCGTGGGATTCATATTCTGAAAAATAATAAATCAATCCTGATTTTCCAACCAAAAGGAGCAGGAGTCAAACCCAGCCCTCAGCCACACAGCAAGATAGTTCTCATTAAGTTCTCTCCCTGAGTAAAACCATATCTGAAGCTCAAGCAGTGAGGAATATATTCTCACAAAAATTCCCATTTTAGGGCATTCTGAGGTCTGGGCAGCAAGGCCATGAGCTGGGCTGTATTTTCTCCTTGCATTGAGACCACTAAAGCACAAGGCAAGTATAAATATTTGCCAGAAAGTCATTTTCCATGAAGAAATAGTAGGTGATTTTTAAATGCAGTAAGCTTAGCTTCAAATATTTTTTTTTTTCCTAAATATATTTGCCTCCCTAAGAGCTAATATGTGACAAATCTCTTTATTTTTATTTAAGCTGCTCTGAGTAATCTTCACTCAAGAAATGTAAGTAAAAGGAATATTGAAAGCTTACCTTTTCCCACTCAGCTAACTCAAACATTAAAAAATAGAATTTTCTAGAAGCCCAAAGCTTTATGCTTGAAAAAAATGCTTTCAGAAAAGTATTTTTCCCATTCCTCCTCCCTGCCAAAAGAAGTCTTTGAAAATGAAATAACCTCGTTATCTGCAGAAACATTTATATTTAAAAACAAAAATACATATTCAACAGGATTTTTTTGTATTTAACCTTTAAGATGATATGTCCAACAAGCCTTCACTAAAAACAAGATTTTCATGTGAGAACTTGTGCCTCACAGACAGCAAAGGTGATTGATGGATCTGAGGGGAGGACACCTGAAACTGGAATATTTATTTTATTCAGACCAAGACAGTTGCTGTATCAGCTTCACACTAATGACATTCCCCCCACTGTTTATAAAGTTTCTAATACTGATTAAATAATCTTTGCACATGCCCACAAGGCTCCTGGGATGTTTAGACTCTTTTTCATGTTTTCTCCCTTTTCCAGGGATTTTTTTCATTTCCCCGGTATCAAGCTGTGGCTGCAGAAAGCAGCAGGGTACAGAAGGCTGCTGAAATCTCTGTTCCCACCCATGAAAAGGCTTATACTGCACTTAATTTTTGGCAGTTTTATCCTCCCACAGACACCAGTGGCACTTGTGAGGTGCTCAAGGGGCTGATGGATGGGAGCCAGAGCTCTGAGCAGCCCCAAGCCCAGATCCAAAAACCCTGCCGTGATCTTCATCACCCCAACACCACGTGGGTTTGTGCCGTGGGGATGTGTCCTGTGAGGTCCCCATGGATGGCTCCAGCCCCTCCTTCTCAGTCTGCAGCCCCTGTTTAAGCCAAGTTCTGCCCAGAGAAACATCATGGCAGGGATGTCCCATGAGCTGTCTCGACCCTATGGATTGATCAGTTCAGCCAAAATCTTTCTGCACTCAGCTCCCACCAAAGTCAGGGGGATCCTGGTGAATGCCCACAGCTGTGGTTTGGCTGATGGTGTTTGCTCCATGCTCTACACACAGACAATTTGGATAAAATTCCCTTTATCAGCTGATTTAGCCTACAATAGGTGCAATCTCAGCTGTAAGTTTTAGACAACAGTTGTAGATCAAAATTTGTCCAGAGGAAGTTTTACTGCCAAATGAAGGGGTAAGTAGCCAGTCCTGTGACATGGATGAAGGGGGTTTGGCTTCAATGCCTGGATTGTTTACAAAAATTTATAAGAGATAAAGAAAAAAAAAGAAAATACTTGACTATCAATTCCCAAACACTTCATTTTTATCTCATTTGAGCCGTTTGACCCTTTGATGTCTGCTTCTGGCCCGAGGGTGACATATTACACCTCTTTGCATGCACTGTTAGCATGAAGCATAATGAAGCATGAGAAAACCTGCACTGTGGCTGATGCAAGAATTTACATTTATTTTGTATCATTAGAAAGAAGGAAAGACAGTAAAGTCCACTTTAAAGAGCAATCCCCTCTTCTCTCTCCCTCCCAAACTGAGGCCCAGCAGAGCCGACCAAGGACAGCAGATGGCACAGTTTGTCGTGCATCCTTAGGAATCCCTGAATCCTCTTCTGCCAGGAAAGGAAAAGAAAGGGGCTGCCTCTCCCAGAGCTTCAGCTGAATTCTTCCCTCTGCACATGTGTATTTGGCACAGCAAATATAAGTATTGGGAAGACACAAGTCTCCCCATGGGCTGTAGTGTAGAAGTGGGATGGGCACCTCAGAAGATTCTTGGTCCTTCGTCATGCAGTAAGAACATAAATTATCCCCTTCTGCTTGCTAAAGGGAAATATGTTCTTTCTTCTTCATCTTTTGGGCTTTGTTTCCCATTTGAGCAAAATCTCGAAATCTTGTGGTGGCTAAAAGGACCTCCTGCCTTTGGTGGTCCTCAGCTAGGTGCAGGTGGGTTGGGAGCTCACAAGGAATTTCCTCTTTTCTCTTGTATCGGACAAGGCATCCAAAAGCAAAAGGCAAAACAGACAAGACAAACAAAATCTCTGCACTTTGCTGAGGGTAGCAGCACTCTCCTGTGGTCCAGCTTGTGCCATGGGAAGCAAGGGGGTGGGAGACCTTGAGACTATAAAGACAGAAGGACTTGGTTCACCTTCTTCTCCCCTCTCTGCACTGAAGCCAGAGGCCCAGAGCTGCCCCCCTGCACCATCCTTGGTGCTGCCCTGCCTCCGAGGAGAGATCTAGCTCTGCTTCCTCAGAGCTGTGGAAGACAAGCACCCCAGGAGTCAGGACTGTGCCCAGGTACAGACACAAAGGGAATGAATCAAGTGGGAATTCTGGGCTCTGCTGTCAACTGTATAATAGGAAAGGGCTTCTGGATGCTTTATGGGCGAGCTCTGTGAAGGGCTTCAGCCCTGCTCCTAAATCCCAGCAGGTCTAAAGGCAAGTTTTGTCCTTGAAGGTGAGCAACAACTTAGTGCTCTTCTTAGTGATCACTCCATCACTCCATCTGTGAAGTGCCAGCTGGCCCCTGAAGTGGGCCATGTGAGGTTCACTCACTGGATAGCTCTTCTCTTCAGGTATGAAAGACAACAGAAGTCCTGCCTTCATTTCTGCAAGTTTACAATTAGGGCACACAAGACTCTCTCTGTTATTACAATGCAATGTTGGGTTCTCCTCTCTGTGTCACAGTCTGTCCTGCCTCCCTGCTCTACTCCACAGCTGCTGAGGGACATCTCATTCCATTAGTGGACACACTTCAGTGTCAGTGTGGTGCTGGATGGGACAGGAGGACAGAGCACCCTGATTGTTCTTGGCCTTCTGCAATATTCAGTAACATTTAGACTTTGGGCCTCTTTAAACTCGTGTTCATTGTTTTACCAGTCTACTTGCTTGTGCATACAGGAGAGGAGTTCATACAGTGGCTGTACCACGCCTTGACTTGTGATTCCCCACCAAGGTAGCCCGAGGTATCCAATTTAACAGCTCTTTGCTTACATGGTAACGACATTGTCCTAGGATTTCTTGTGCTGTATGTCCTGTCAGTAATTGCATCCCTCGTGGGAAGTTCCTGTAAATGTCAGTGATTTCCTTCTCCCATTACAAGAGAGAAATAAGGCATGCGTATTCCTCACACTTGTAATTCCAGCACTCGGTGCTCCTTGTACTCCTGTGCTTATATTGCTAAGCAAAGGATCAAACATGGCTTTTTAAGCAGAACAGAATTCTGTCACATCCCTGCCCAAATCAAGTAGCTTCTGGGATCAAAGCTAAAGTCTGAAACGATTGCTGGCTTATATTTTCTGTCTTTGGTGCGATGTGCTCATCCACTTCATCTCTTTGAGCCAGATCTGGTGCTGTAAAGTGCTGTTGCTCTAATATAAGCTAAGGGAGCCACGCTGGTCCATTCCCACTGGTACCTGTCCCTCAGTGTCAACAGCCAACATCCGTATGAAGTCCCTGTCCAGTGTGAAGAAAACAGATGGCTCTTGTGTTGGAAATAGCCTCACGTCTCATTCCTTTCCTTGGTTTTTGTTTGTTCATTTTCCCCTGTCTGTCTGTGTTCAGCTCCTTCCTTTTCCTCCCCCTGGTGCATGGACCCATGGCCCACACTGCAGAACTGCGTAAGAAGCATTTTGAGTTTTCGCTCAAGATACCTCAACTTGGTTTCAGTCAGATTAATTAACCCTTCTTTCCCCCTGCCACCCTTACGTTTGGCGCATTATGCAAGAGTAAAGTTTGCCCAGCACAGAATTAGTCTTTAAACCTGGATGCCATTAAGAAGTTATTCCAAAATGAGTTGTTCCCCAGACTTTGGAGGGATTGAGAAGCTCCAGTGTTTACTCTCCAGAAATTTATATTTGATGCCTCCAATGAAATTGAGTTCCAGCTTCCAAACTGGTTCTGCTCTCCTCCTTCCTCTGCATATGGAGCTGTTAATCAACCCAGGTGCTTCCATAGTGAGCATAAGGATGTGCAAATGTGATGTGTGTAAAGAAGTCAGTACCAAATTATGTGCCTGGTAACCTTTCTCAGCAGATTTGGCAGGAGCCTCCTCTGCTGCTCCCAGCTGGGTGCCCTGCTAATAAAAAACATCTAGCAGTACAAGTGAGAACTGCATTGAGATGACAAGAAGTTTGGTAATGTTTAGTGAGTTCTGGCCAAATTCAGCCTTGATGTAATTCCACTAAAAAAGTTATCACTGCATCTGTTTGTCTGGATCTTAGGACAAGCAGCTCGTTTTCATGGACATGAGAATTACACATGGGCATTTGCACTGAGGAGAGGAAACTGCTGGAAAGACTGAAAAAGATCCCATTGATATTTGCTAGACAGAAAACTTGATCTTCCCCCAAAATAATATTTTCTCAGTGCAAATAAGAAGTTAATCGATTTGGAAGAAAGCCAGTAAAAGAAATTCTTTGCAGTGGGTAAATTTACTGTGCATAATGTGCCAGGTTTTATCTGTATAAACAGAAATGGATAATTTCAAACTCTGCTAATACTGCTCTGAATTTTGCATCTGAATTAACACTTCAGTGGCACTGCGTGTCTGTGAGTAATTTGGAGTGTTAGTTGGGGAGAGAGGCTGTTGCTTTGTCCCATGGAGGCACAAGTGGTGCCCTCCTCACCTGCTGCCCCCAACTGACTCCAGGTCCTTTTCCGGGGGCGGGGGGGATTTTCTGATCCCGGTAGAGTTGACCAGATCGTTGGGAGAGGATCCTCCATGACTGACAAGGATCGGACCAAAGGGCCAGCAGAAGGGGAGCTGCCTGAAGACCCCAGCATGATGGGCAGGCTTGGAAAAGTTGAAAAACAGGTATCTGGGGTCAGGAAGGGGTTATTGTCAGAGGGTGTTGCGTGCATTGTGTTGGTTTTTCCTTGCCTTTTTCCCTCACTAGGACATTGCCTTTTAGTTTAAAAAAAGTGAAAGCCCAGAATACTTTGAAAAATTAGCAAGTGGATGTTATAAAAAGGAACTAAAAGCCTTGGAAGCCTAAGTGCTACTTTCAAACCGGGCACTTTGAGTCTACTTTAGTGAGTTTGTCAAAAGCCTGCATTACTTTTTGAAAACAGCACATTGGTTTCTTTTCCACTATGCTGGACACATTTCAAAGGAGTCCCTCAAACTGGCTGCTGGAGCTGCTGGCCTTGCTGAAGATTTAAAATCTTTCTAGAGCTTAAGGCTCAGAAATTCCAATGGTCTTCTGAGCCCAGACAAGTGGAAAGTTCAGGAAGGAGCTAGAAGAAGCAAGTGTGCTTCAGCTTTTCTAGAACCTGGTGCCTGTCATAAAGATTAGATAGAGGTTAGATAAGGAAAATCCTGTAACAAGGGAAGCCTTGTAAAAAGGTGGAGAATTAAACCCTCCAGAACAGAGCAATTAAATATTCGCTACAAGTTTGAGATGCTGTGGGTCAGTGTATGTGGAGGATCTACGAAGCCCAGCCCCACACTTGTGCCTCGATGGAAGTTGCTCTTAATCAGGATGTTAACGTGCTTCAGCCTGCATGAATTGCTGGAACTGTGGTGTTTTTGCAGGTTCAGTCCATGGAGAAGAAGCTGGACTTCCTGGTGAACATTTACATGCAGCGGATGGGCATCCCACCAACGGAGACGGAGGCTTACTTTGGGTCCAAAGAACCAGACCCAGCCCCTCCCTACCACAGCCCCGAAGACAGCAGGGAGCACATCGACAAGAACGGCTGCATCATCAAGATCATCAGGTCCACCAGCTCCATGGGTCAGAAGAACTTCTCCGCTCCACCAGCCCCAAGCAACGCGTGCCCGCCCTCCACATCGTGCCAGCGGCAGAGCCACGGCTCCTCTCCCATCGGAGACCCCGGCTCGCTGGTCCGGATCCCACCTCCGCCCTCCCACGAGCGCTCCCTGTCCGCCTACAGCGGCGGGCACCGGGCGAGCGCCGAGTACCTGAGGAACGAAGACATTACAACCAAACACCACGAGAGTGCCATGAGAGACAGCGACACGTCCATCTCCATCCCCTCGGTGGACCACGAGGAACTGGAGCGCTCTTTCAGCGGCTTTAGCATCTCCCAGTCCAAAGAAAATTTGGACATCCTTAACAACGGTTGCTATGCAGCCGTAGCCAAAATCAGACCCTACATTGCAGAAGGGGAGTCAGACACCGACTCTGACCTCTGCACACCCTGTGGTCCCCCCCCGAGGTCAGCCACGGGCGAGGGACCCTTCAGTGACATGGGCTGGTCAGCCCCCCGGCAGTGAAGCCTCCCTGCAGCCGCCGAGCCACGTCCAAGCGCTGGCAGCTGCCCGCTGCAGCTGTCCACGTGCCGAACTTCTCCAGGAGACCGACAGCTAAGGCTTTCCTCTTTCTAGGGCACCCTTAGCTGGCAGATACTTTCTTGCAGCTTACTCTGGGGGGGAATGAGCAGGTCCAAGCCTGCATTTTTGGAAGAGGTCACGGTGATGAGCGAACTGGAGCCGTGAAGTCCAGATTTCTTTCATACTCTCTTTCTAAGATCATTAGGTGAAATTTCCATGGCGCAGAGTAAGCAATTTGCATTTCTTGGGAATCTTCAGAAGCGCAGGGCAGGAATAAATCACCCAGCCAGGGCTTTTGTTGATCACATTAACTGGTGGCTGACAAGTGTTAGGTGGGAATTGCTATGTCATGGCAGAAGCTGATCACACTTTTAGGTGTTTTGGAGTCACAGACAGAATACATGTCTGTTTCTGGCTTAGGTTTCAGGGCACGTGTAATAATGAGGGATTGTAACTCTGTGGTTCCTCATCAGCTGTAAGGAAGGTGACATAATTCCAATATAATACATGGAAATGTTGTGTGGGCCCCTGGAGGAGAGGGATGGTGGCTGGGATATTTGCATGAGAAGAAGACATGGCCTTAAGTGGGACTTGCTGGGGTACTGCTCAGAACCAGAGCATTTGGAAATGATCCCATCTTAGGAAAAACTCAGAAATATGAGCTTGAGTGCAAGAGGGACAATCCAGAGAACAGAGAAATGAGACAGAGAAGGAGGACGAGAGACTAAGGGGATGGAATTTTATATTTTAAACCATGTATTGTACTTAATTATCTCTCCTTCTGTTGACAAGGGACCTGGGGGTGCTTTGAAAGCAAAGACAAACCAAAGGCATCCCCTCTGGAGGGCTGCCATGATCCCAAGCCATTCTCATGGCCAACAGCGCTGTGGGGAGGCACAGCCACCAGTCAAAGGGAGAGGGTGGACGTGCAGGATGCTGTGGTCCCTGCCTTGCTGCGAGTTAAGTGCTGAGTTCCATCCTCTGGAAGCCCTGTTGGTCAGAGTGGGCACTTTTCTTACAGTTTGCATTGTGCCTGAACACTTTTGCACATACTATGCCCGTGAAAATCTTCCCTTCCTTCTTCTGCCCTGCCAAGAATCTCACCCCCACGTTCTCGGGACATCCTTTGGTTTGTTTGGATCCCTCAAGCTGAGTCAAGAGGCGCTGCTTTTTTTCTTCATGGTCTCTCAGAAGCCTCTTGCCCGTGCTTGCCTGCGAGTTGTGCCAATCCCCGTCTGCCCCATTTCGTTGTTGTGGAAGCACTTCCTCTTGGAAAGGTCATTGTGTCATTGCCAGGAACCTCAGCAGCTCCTTCAGCTGGGGGAAAGTGTGGGGAAAAGTGATGCTCAAAGTCTCTTTTGGGACCAAAACAAAGCCACAAAGTGATAAACTTATCCTTTATGTGGATAAGTTGTTAGGGGTTTTATTTGCAAGGGGGTGGTTCAGGAGAGGTTTGGTTTGGGATCTGTTTCCAGGGCTGGGACACCAGGGCTGGCATTGTGCCTCTGAACCTTGCTGTGCATCCACAGCCCAAATCCCACATGTGTTTTCTGCTGTGATTTCAAACCCCCATCTTTCCACATTTTCCCTGTGTCATATCAAGAGCCTGTTAAGGATATTTAGGTGGCAACTTCATTTCTGTGCGGCCTTTGAGAGGGTGAACATTGATTTGCTTGGGGTGAAGGGAGACTCACAGCCTTTTTCTCTCCTCCTGTTTGCTTGACCAGACACAGCAACCAGGGGAGACCCAGGATAATTTTGGCCTTAGGGAAGATGTGGGTGCAGTCTGACAACTTGCAGACAGGAAATACAACCATTCTTGTGCTAATGCCCAGGGCCAGCACACAGGTCTTACCATGGAGTGAGGAAGAGGGAAGTATCTTCACAACTTTCCCTGCCATTTTTCACCATTCAGGAGGGGAAAACCTTGTTATTAGGGAGAAACTGGGCTTCTAGCCACACTAGTTCTTTTCTTTCCCCTCTTGGGCCATGTTTTTGTTAACTTCTGCAGTTTTCCCCTCTCTCTTTGTGCTCCAGATCTCCTTCTGGCTCCAGATTTCTTTGTGCAGAATTAACACAGTGATGCCCTTGACTTCCACACAGAGACAAGTTTAAATGCCTAATGGTTGTAAATCGTGCAGATTTGCCTCTGGTGTGCTCCAAAATGAGATCCTTTCTGCTAGAACAAGTGTCAGCCTGTCCTAAATCAAATGTGGTGGCCTGGGCTTTCTACCGACCACAAGAATGGAAATGAAGTGAGGCAAAAATCAACATTGCTCCAGCCAGTTGCTCACTCCAAATTTTGTCCAAGTCAGAGATAACAAAGATTTATTCTCTTATTTGTTTGCAATTACTTTTCAAGGCCTGCTGGAAATTTGGCACCAAGGGTATGATACAGAGACAGGAATGCCAGATGAGGATGAGGATAAGGATGATGTCATGCACTCCTATTCCAGCACAGGTACATGCCTGATCTTTAGTAACAGAACCACAGAATCATCAATTCACAGAACCACAGAATGGTTTGGGTGGAAAGGGACCTTAAAGCTGATTTTCAGGTGTTGCATAGGAAAAATTGAGTTTTTCCTCTTCAACTTCCTGCACTGGAATCTATAAATATATTTTGACTTGCATATTGAAAAGTTGTTGGATTTGTCCCATAATCAGTGATTGCAGAAAACTGGTTTTATATACATTTCTCATGGAATTCACATAGAATTCAGATAGAATTTTTTTTTTTTGAAGGTATGAGATATATTTTTCTGTGGTATCATACCAAAGAAATTCTGACACACCCCTATGCACGACCATGCCATAACTCATAATTTCTCATTCATCCAGGCAAAACATCATGGATTTTGGGGTTAACTTACACTAGAATTAGCTGCAAATAATGCTCATCACTTCCATGAAATTATTTAAGCCTGCATAAACAATGACAGGTCCTGCTTGTTGCTTATTGACATAAACAATTCCATTATTTTCCTAAATCATAATCCAATACTCTCTGAAAAGTCTTCCCTTCTAATGGCTCAGCTCCCCCCATGTCTGTACCACACATTCCTGGTGGCAATCTCCCACAAGAAGTCTTAACCACCAGACTACAAGAAAATAAATCAGTTTTGGGTTGCTGATAAGGCAGTCCTGATAACGAAGACTTTTAAAAGGGTGGACAGGCAAACTTTGTCCCTCTGCTGAGCCTCTCTTGGGCTACTCTTTGCTCCCCTCTTCCTCCCAGATCTTATTCCATATTTTTTGGAGGACAGAAACAAGTTCTATGCAATGCTAAGTGTGGACAGAGGAGTCCAGTGAGAGAGCTGAAGATGTGAAAGCCAAATTTCCAGCAGACCATCTTGAACTGCTCCAGGGCTGCCCATGCCCACACTCGGCTCCGTGCCCAGAGCCTGGTTCCAGGAGTGTCTGTGCTGAATGTGAAGCCGTGACCTTGGACCAGGGCCTGAGCTCTGGTCTCCAAGAAAACTCTGGGCTTTTTTTTCCCATAATCTGGGTCTAGGTCTGGAAAGAAATCCTGCAATTGGCCCACCTACATGATGGAGCAATGCCTGGGCTGGGACATGAAGCACAGTAAGTTTTTGGGTCCTTCAGGTCCGAGTTCAGGTGGTCTGAGGAGTTTTCTGTACAGGGGATGTGGCTGGAGATGTTGCAAGGTGGCCTTTCATAATGTGACCCCAAGACAGAAAAACAGCCATAAGTCAAATTTCCCAATATTTGGGAAGGGACTTTAATGTTACTCAAGTGCAGGTTTTGTATGTGAATTTCCTTGTTGACCCATTTTCTTAATAACAATTTTTAAAGCAAAAAAGGTCAAGGAGCTTACCAAAACCAAACCTCTCATTCAGCTCAGAAAGCCATTCTATTTCTTTAGACAGACTATGTGATAGATCAGATTTTCTAAAAATGCATTTTGTTGCAAATGCTGCTGAATAGGTCCAAATGAATTTTGCAAGGTCATTGCTATTTATGGATAAATAGGTATATTTTTACATTTTTAATTGGTTTTTAAAATTTTAAATTATGTGAATTTTTAGAAAAAGTTTGTATAATCTACCTGAGAAGCCAGAGCATCACCTCAGATACAAATGCTCCCCTTCTAGATAATTGCCCAAGAGAAAAGAAAAACACCTTCACTCATATTTTTCCCAAGAGGGAGCTACTAGAAACCTCATTTTCCTGATATCTTCAGACCACCATGGTCACAGCAGTGTTATTGCTAAGACTAAAATGTAAGTATTAAAAGAGAAACTGAAATTCCTAAGGAATTTACCCAAAGTTGTGCCACGCAAAGACCCTTAGCAGTGAGTATTTTATTGGGCATGTCAAAAATCCCAGGAGCAGGGTGAGGATTTCTGTTTCTCCATCATGTGAACGCTCAGGCTGAGCAAGCCCTGAGCCTCCAACCCTTTCTTCCCAACACACAGCTGCACGTCCACATCCTCTCCATCCTCTCTCCATCAAGGGTCAGCCTCTTCTGTTCTCATCAGCTTCCTTTTCCTGAGCCAGAAACAAGGAAATCAGATACAAAAGCTCCTTCAGCTGCAGGTAGCATTGAGGAGAAGGCTGTGGGGAGGGCTGAGGGCAGCAGCCCCTCCGAGCCCCACGGGGTCACTGCTGCTCAGAGGTGTAAAAGCAAACCCTTGCTTTTAGCACACAAACACCCCAACTCTTCTGCCTCACGGAGCAAAACCTGCTGAGAGCAGGGGTGGGGGTTCACTGGTTTTTTTAACAATAACAACAGGGTGGGTTTTTAATAATAAGGATAATAATACTGCATAGGAATCTTCTTTAGTATATCTTAGTGTTTGATGCCCCAGTGACACAATACTGCTTGCCTTACCTTAGTGTCTAGAGGGAGAGGGATCACACACCTTTTGATACACTATTAATCACGCTTTGAATTTAGGTAGCAGCGGGGTCCTTTTTAA